GAAAATTATCGCTAGAAACTAAGGGAACACGTGCCTTGTCAAGGAAATTAACAACGTCTTCATAGGTAAAATATCGATAAACAGATTATCATTGGTCATCTCAACTCGATTGCTTTTCTCGCTTTCGCCGTACCGGCTCAAGCGAGAAAATCAATCTCGTTGAGATAATCAACGATAATCTATAAAGATCAGTAATGTTGCAATTTTAATTATGATAAGTTACGTTTTTTAAATCTTATTACAAATAATATTTTGATATTCATTACCTTTCGAATTCGTTTAAGTTGTTGTTCCAACAGACAATGACTAATAACAATATTGTTTTATATGCAAAAAACTTTATTTCGAAAATCTAACTAAAGTTCATGAAAAAAATTCACAAGACAAATAGTCAAAATAATATCAAAATGCTGTCGAGATATAAAAATTTTAATTACGTAAAAATGTTATAAATATAGACAGGAATCATCATAAGCAATAGCAATAGATAAAAAAAAAACATCATGTTAAGAAAGGTCTAACTTGAAATAGGAATACTTGTGATTAAAGTCTTCCTTTTTGTCATAAACCGATAAAAAATTATGTACAAATCTTGTTTTAGTTACTTTTCAAACGTGTCTGTATATTTGCTTCTGCACTTCCTTTTGACTTCAACTTCAAAGATTTCTCCCAACAAATGAGTGTTTGATTTTGGTTTACTTTAAATTATCTCCAAACTTTATATCTTACAAACAAGTGTCATGCGCACTTTATTGAATATTTCTAGATTCATATATAACAACCTTTTATTTTCTAAATAATGTAAATATAACGACACGAAATATATATATACTTATCTTTAATGGATCGTTGACAAATCTTTAAAAAAAGTTTTATCTTAATAATGTGATCGTTGACAAATCTTTAAAAAAAGTTTTATCTTAATAATGTAACTTTGAAAGGTTCGTGTTTTAAGTAAAAGATGTTCTTCAAGATCAATAACTTGTAAAATTTAGCATAAGCAATACAACAGTAATATATCAAAATAAACAACAGCTAAAAACAAGCAATACAAATTGAAAATTCAACCAACACTCTCAAAAATCTGTGATAATATTTTTTTTAATCTTTCAAACCACGAAAATATTTCGCCAATTTGGATCTAGAAAACGCCGAAGACACCGAATAAAACATAAAACCCTAAAAAATGAGGAGGTTTATTGATATATTTTTTTTTATCTTAGAATATTAACAGAAATATTGCATAAGTTTCCAAGTACAATGTCATGTATATATACTGTATGTTATTTACCCTGTTTCACATAATGATGCACAAGTAATTAGTTCTTACAAACATAAATCTGATTGTTCGACCCAGAGTTATTATTTTATTACACATTTCTCCTTTAAAAAGGCCTGTTATGAATATATTATTTGTAGACTATAGATAAAACTCTACCGTTGGCTTTCTATATCTTGTTCTGAAACATCATCCATTTCTAAACTGTAAGATCTGTTATCCGTATATTCTTCTTCTTCTTTTAATATTTGAGGATATATGCTATAATCGTCTCCTTCTGCTTCAATGATTATGTTCACTCTTGGTACCATTCTATACGTCCTTTTTAAATCGGACATTAAGAAATCTGGTATTTCACGGAATGAAATGTGTCCACGTTTAATTTTTACCGAAACCATTTTCCCATATTCCAATATTGCTTCTAATGAAAAATTTGTTGGATAAAGTTTCCTGTTTTTAAGATATGTTTTTTGGGGTGGTCCGGGTAACTTTTCTCCGTTTGGTCCATAATAGTGATGGATTTCTTCTGGGCTAGAAAGGTATGTAGGTCCAGGATGAAATGAAGATGGTCGCGGCACCAAAGCATTATAGATATTATTCGGATACACATAAGCAGCAGGCACAACATTAGATGGTCTCATACCTGGTTGTTGTGATTTAATCATTTCTTTCTGAGAAAACGGTCGCACTGGTTCTGAATAGTAACTTGGAATAGTTACTGAGTTACTGGTATACATGTTCTCACTGCGATTTTTCAACATTATATCATCCGCTGTGAAATGTGGAACGTATTGCGCAAATACTCCTTCTCCCAGTACCGGCAAATCTATGATGGACCTGTCTCCAAATTTCGTATTTACTACTCGCGGACTACCTCGTGTTGACATTCTTAGTAAACATTTTTGAGTGAATCCTAAATTTATCTTTTAAATCTCACAGAAAGAAACTAAAAGATTACTGAGATATTGGTTTTGTTTTATTCAAATTTCACATGATCAATAAACCAGTTTTATCTGTCATTTCAGACTACGTTCTTCACTTAATGAAATCTATTTAACTATGGTTTTATCTCTTGTAGTCTCAGATGATCCACTTTTAAATAAAGCACTGCGAAATTTAAAAATTACTCGGGTTTGTAATCTTCAATAATGCATATTTGTCTTCTGTTTACCGCCCAGTGATTGTTTTGTCTCGCACATGCATGCCATGGTTGTCAGGGAATAGAGTACATTGAAAATAGTTAGGTCTAGTTTGTGTTTATTTCAAAGAAATTTTCACAATTTAAGTTGAGCATGCCAGAAGAATTATAGATTAATACTTTTAGCTGCAAAATGTTCACTGGCAAATATTAGAAATCACAAAACAGTACTATGTAGTTGTGATAATATGAGGTATTTGCTTTTTGTGTTTTTGCTTTGCTTTGCATGCACTGGTTTTGTGTCGTGGATAGATACCCCATTTCCTCCTTTCTTTTCTATTATATATGAGCATTACAAAAAGATAATAATGTTTCGATGCATGTAAGCTTCTTTAGAGTGAAAAATAAAAAGGCAGGACAGAGATTACAAATTAAAAAAAATGCAGGACAAAATTTTTCATCCTAGCCCCCCATAAATATCAAATGGTAGCTCCCTTATATTTTATATTTATCAATCTATTCGTGTTTGTTGTTGTTGTTGTTGTATAGTTGTAGAAGTGATAAATCAGACCTCGTGTCTTTTATGTTTTCTGTGAGTAATCTTTACTTTATATTAGTGAGGCGTCAATATAGTTTACATTGTTTAATAGCCAGCTGAAGCCAGCCTCCGGGTGCGGTATTTTCCGGCCCGCTGCGTTGAAGACCCGTTGGTGACCTTGTGCTGTTTTATGCTCTTAGGTCGGGATCTTGTCTCTGTTATACATTCCACGTTTCCATACTCTATTCTGTTTAACACCTCTTAGAGTTTCTTCAGTTTCTTTTAAAGAGTCCTATATGTTTTATATTTAATGTAATAATAAAATTGAGAATGGAAATGGGGAATGTGTCAAAGAGACAACAACCCGACCAAAGAGCAGAAAACAGCCCAAGGCTTCAGTTAAATATCAAAGTAAAACGTTTGCTGCGTTCGATGTGCATTTTCTGATTAATCTTCACCAGGAACTCACACAGCCAAATGTTAAATCTCGTGCAATTGTGTGATTTTGTATATGCAGGTTCCAATCTGATTTTTGTGTTTTTCTAATTTATCGTAATTCTGTCCTAATTTATCGTGGTTCTTTCCCAAATAACCTTATCATAGATACCAGGATTAAAATTTGGTAAGCCAGACGCTCTTTTCGTCTACAAAAGATGCATCAGTGACGCTCAAATCGAAGAAGTTAAAAAGGCCAAATAAAGTACGAAATTGTAGAGCATTGGAGACCCACTGAAATTTGAAAATCCCGAAAGGTTATGCCAAATACAGCTAAAGCGTTATACATAAGGTCAAAGTTGTGGTTTTTTCTTTGTTTTGGTCCATTTGAAGGAAGGATTTTATGGTATGTGAACAAAAGTAAAAACAGCAAAAACATTATTTCAGAAAATTAATCTTTTCATATTAAAAAAGGGCATACGATACAGTTTTGATCCCACGGTGATTTTTTTACGAAAATTTGCATACAAGCTATTTTTCACCTAGTCAATTCAAATATGTAATAAAAAATATACCTTCATGTGCTTCTTTATGGTGGTCGAAATTTTAGACATTTACTTAAAATTTCTGTTTTCAAATCTAAACATTCGTAATCAAACCTAATGTCATTTTGAAAAAGAGGGGTCCATGAACTCGTTTTCGAGTTAAATCAGTCTGAATTATAAAAATCAGTCGAAAAATTCATCTTTTCCCTATATGGATAACGAGTTCATGGACCCCTCTTTTTAAAAATGACATTTAGCTTGATTATGTATGAAGATTACTTGGGCCAATTTTTATAAACAAAGCGCCGACGAATTTTTTTTAAATTCACCGTGGGATCAAAACTGTATCGTATGCCCTTAAGCAGACATTTGAACTTTTGTCATTTTATGTCCTACGTCATAAATTATTTGTTTCGAAATAAAAACATTTAATACTGATTATGACGCATCTATCGGCCTGCTTATCTAACAAGACTGAGTATTTTAAGATCAGAAAATGGTGTCAAACTGTTTACTTAATGGGCCTTAATATGAAGAAAATTTACAATATCTTTGAGCAGACTAAAGTAAATGAATCAAGCATAGATTGATATACTTTTTTTTGCTTAGTGTTTAACATTTTATAAAGTTTGTGCTTACTTTGCTTAGTGTTTTTAGTGTTCTTATGTTGCTGCTTTAATGTTTTGACATATTCCTGCTTATATGTTTTAGCTTAGTGCTCATGCATGCATAAAATGTGTACTATTAAACTTAATTCAGCCTTGCCTAACTCATTGTAACTGTGCATGACATATATATATATATGTTTTATGACGGTACTTTATGCCGCTTTAATATCAATATTGAATATGTTTATTGTGTATATGTATGTATTTTCGGTAATGAAATTGCAAAGAGCTTATGTAATTATTTTATGATATGCCGATATTTTTGCTTTTAAATAAAGCTTTTAATTGCGATAGAGAAAGAGTTCATGGAGTTAGTTAAAAAAAATACAATGAAATGCGGAATCGTAACAAGTTTATTCCGATAATCTCCGGTTGTTAAAATAGACAATTCAAACATTTGAAGGACTAAGATGTCAGCCTGGTAACGGACGCAAACTGAAAACTGGAACTAAAAAAATATATTAAAATGTAGCTGATCTGTAGCTTAAAATGCACATTTGTAAACGACAGCGTGACCCAACATAGTCATCAATAAAAGGGGGAATGTATGTTAAGATTAAAAACAACCAGAAACAAAATTATTGAGGCCACTCTTCAATTTTATTTACACTTGTTTATCATGTATTGGCGTGCTGGCTATTGAAAGGTCGTCTTGTACACTGCCACACTGTAAATCTGTGCTTTAAATTGTATGTTGATGTAATGAACCTACTACCAAAAGGTGTTGATATCTGTAAATGCAGTATCGTTTGATTTTTTTGGGCTTTGATTCAATGTAGAATGCAAGTCCTAATACATGTAAATTAAACCTTATCGCTTTTGGGAATCTTCGATACATGACCTGAGAATCTGCGACACCTGAGCTATTGACATCATACAACAATACTCAGTTCTCCGAGTACAAAATTTGTACTTGAAACATCAAATCCAGTATATTGATTGGTTGAATTCTAAGTCTAAGAACAACAATCGTACTCATTGTGTGAAACCTCCGCACGTCAACTATCCTAAGGCGACTAAGAAACAAATATGGCGAGCACTGATACTTGGTAACTCGCCAATGTGGCGAGTGATATAAAATACTTCAACTGGCCAGAAAAAAATTATCTGGCCAGTTGAAGTATTTTGACAGTTGTCAGGCCTTATTTTGTCAAAGGTTCATGATTTTTTTAAGTCTGTTGAACTAATTTCAATCTGCATTGTTAATAGATATGATATTCCTAGCTCCTAAACCGTTTATTTATTGTGATTGGCAAACTTAAACATTATTATGATGACCTTGATACTTCATTGAATCAGTAAACTAAAACCTACTATACGATCCCCACCACACAGATTTTAATTTCTTGACTAAAATAAACATATTATGCATACAGTTGGGTATCAGTTGGTTACAAGTAAAACATTTAATATTAATTTCACCTTTCTATGGTCCTTGTATGTTTATTTTAAGCAAATTACAGGATGGACATTGTATTTGTTGACCAGATTTATAAGCCATTTTTTATACTTCTCTGATCATGTATGTTCAACAAGTACAATCTGGAGGCAAATTATGAAATAGTAATTTCAAAATTGGAATAGTTTTTAAGGCTAAATAATAAAAAAAAACCAAAAGGAACTAAATTAATAAGCAAAACCAGAAACTAAACATAAAAAAACCTTTGGTGCAGAACAGTGTAATTATTTCTGTTTTTTTTAAAATAAAAAATGTGATAATTATAGTAGAAGAGGCTGCTCAATAACTCCAGCATTTGTAGTAAGATTTATCCATAATCATTGGAATAAGGAAGTCTGGTTATGACAAAAAAATACCTTTAGACTTGTCAGTTGAGTTGTGGTAAAAATGTATTTGAAACCTCTTACCTAAGGTAATCACAAGATAAGTAGACTGCTCCCTTATATAACTGAGACTACTATATGTAAATAGTAATTTAAATTGTCAAGTTACCAGTTACAGATAAAAATAATGTACATAAGAACATACATTAAATAAATGGAATGGAATACATTGTAATATGTTTTAATAATTATGTATAAAAAAGAAGGCGAGTCCCAAAAGTAAATCACTTTGGCAAGTTGAAATGAATAGCTGCTCGCAAATTTAAATGAGCAAATGTTTATGATTGTAAAGCCCGGGTTCTAGGTCACAAAACTTTACTCATTGCTCAGAGTACAAAATTTATGCTCGAAACAACAAATCCAGTATTTTGATAGGTTGAATTCTGAGACTGAATACAATAATCATACTCTATATGTTTATGACTGTAAAGCCCGGGCTGTAGGTCTTAAAAGTTTACTCTGTACTCGGAGTACAAAATTTGTCCTTGAAAAACACCAAATCTAGTATTTTGTTGGTTGATTTCTGATTTTAAGTACGATAATCGTGGTCCAAATTTTTATGACCACATAAAATTATATTTTTTATCTTCATAAAAAATATCTATGAAATGTTATTTTTTAGTCTAACCCTTGGACACAACCCTGTACATGTAAGGAATTCTTTAAAACAGCCATAAAATATCCATTTTGTGTATTTACATACTTTTTTTTGTACTGAAAGTTGAGTTTTACTGCATTTATGTATTTGTATGCTTGGGTAATTATGCTTAGATGTAGATACATGTACATCCAAGTGATTAATTTTCCTACTGGCATATTTATGAGGAAACTTTCTTTATGATACGTACTAATCATTGCTAATGAAAGATGCTGATGTAATCTTATTGACTTATAAACTTTTATCATATCTTATTCATGTCCTCTTTTCTGTTAATGTTTGTCACCTTGCTTGTATATGTTTGCGTTAAACTGATGTATGGTAATTCTCCTGTGTCAATAGAGTGTTTGTATATGGGTTTTTACTTGCATGAATTTTTATTGCAAACTGACCCCATTTACTGATGGCGTACAATAAAATTACAACAAAGACAACTTCCGTTGTAAGATTCAACTTCTTTGAATATTTCTCAAAGTTAAAGTTTGATTTGTAGAACTAGACTCTTTATTAAAGAAGCACAAAATAAAACATAAATATTTTTAAATACTTGATATTTTTGAAAATGTTGAAATGAAACAAAAAACAAGTTGCACATGTATGTTTCCAAGATAATAACGTTTTCATGCACTTAATTATAAAGGGCATTTATTTATCTTCTCTTGAGTTCCGTTATAGACAGGGTTGACATGAAGATACATAGTATGCACTATTGACTAAGTAGTAGTACTCATAATCCAACATTCTTTTACAGATACAATAAGGAAAGATGGCATTGTTTGCTGATGCTTCAAGCCTCAGTGGCACCTTTGACAGATCTGAGAAATTAAGAACTCCTGCCTTATTTAGCTGTGCAGCTAGAGTTAAAATTCCTCAGTTAGGAGCAGAGGATTCTCAATTGAGCTTGCAGTTACCTCCCAAGAAACCAGCGCAGACCTCAATAGTGTTCCGTTCTTTTAGTCATCCAGAACCTGTAGATAGAAGATACTTAAAGAAAATAAGTTCAGATTTACATTTTGGCGAGGATGTTGTTAAAGACAGATGTTTCCATATGTTACCATATGATGAGAAGTACTTGTTTGAGGCTTTGTCATTGGATGGTATTGTTGAAGCTCCAGAAAAAGCAAAAATTCCACCTGGTCGACATGATTCACGAGGTACTGATAATAGACATATGCCATGCAACCTAACAAAATCTACAAAATCTCATTTAAAACCTCTCAAGAGAAAAATTATGGAGAAAGCCAAACAAATGCATGACGATGCTATCCAGAAAGCTGCCATTGATGAAGAGAAAAGAAAAGCGGAGGCTATTCCTGAAAATGAAGAAGAAGAGATTGAGGTCAAACAGAGTTTCTTTATCACAGAACCACAACTACAGCCTCCACAACCTAGTTCTGTTAGATATATACCTCCTGCTCCTCATTGGGAGCTCCCAAAAAGAGAAGAAGCTCAACCAGACAAAAAGGAGGTTAAAGTACAACCAAAACCTAAACCTTCTACAAAATCAGTGATATCTAGAGTCAGTAAAGGAAGACCTATAGTCCTAGAGGAAAAGAAAGAGGATGATTGGGATGCCTATGTCTTGTCAAAATTAAGTAAAAATATAGCCCAAAAACTTGTGCATGAAGGTATAGCTGATCCAGAAAGGAAGGAAAGGTTAACCAAATTATTAGAAACTCAGTATGGAAAAGCTGATCTAAATAATTTTTTCTTAGATGAGAATGACATACTGGATGTACATGAAGAAATGGAAAAAAAGGAGAGAGAAAAAGAAAAAGAAAGTAAACCTAAAAAGAAATGGAAGAAAAAAGAAGCTTCGTAAGTTTGATAAGCTACATGTTATGGTGTAGCTTTCTTATTTTCAATTTTGATCAGCATGTACTGATTTTGCTACATAATTATCTCAAAAGAAAACCATTTAATACTAACTGAAGAGATTTCTACGGGTGAAGAATATCATCCTAAAATTGGTTTCAAATTAGGGTAGGATCCCATCCCCCCCTTCCATTTTCCGAACCAGGCAAAATTACATATTATTTTATTTTGGGAATAAATCTATATTTATAAATAAAAATGAATAAAAGGAGATTTAGGTTATATTTGTCAATGAGACAGAAACCCAACAACACAAAAAACAAAAGATTTCTTATTGATAAGTAAATCTCTATAAGAATAAGATAAGCTACATATTAGGGAATTGTATGTTCAAGATAATATTTTTTTCAAATTTTAAAAAGCATATGATACTGGCAAATAAATTAAACAAAATATTCAAGAATATGACTTACAGTGATGCTATGAGGTTTCAACAGTGACTATCTGTTCTCAGTAGGATTCAGATTTGTGGGCTCTCCCTGTATATTGAAATTTACTATAAACATATCCTCAAAACCCTGAGTGAATACAGTTTTCTTTTGGTTTTTACTTTTCATTAAAATTTAAAATGATTATGATTTTTCAGTGTATTACAACGTGTATACAACATGCAGGAAGTTGAAAGAGAAGCCAACGATCCGTACTCTGATGACAACAAGGCTCCATTTTATAGACAACCCATAGGTCTTAGGAGAGTTATCAAAGAAAGGGAAAAAGAAGAAGCTGGTATGTTAATTATCTAAGCAAAATTAAATAGGATTTTAATTGTCTTGAAAAAAAATCAATGGAAGAAATTATTGGATGTTTACTTCCAGTCAGTCTGTCAGTTCAAATTTTGTGTAATTATGTAAAGTGTGCTAGCATTTCAATATGTATATATATATACTAAAAGCTACAATGAGATAACACACAGGAGCACCATATCCTATTCATAAGTGGAGGTCCACTGCCATCTCGATCAGCCCCTAGAATAATAGGGATCTAAAATTATTTAAAATCAGTTGAGCTTTTTTGACATTTCATGCTTAAAACTCTATTTTTAACAGGATTTAAGTTAACACAATTTTGCATTCAAATTGAAACAACTAAAACTTTATTTTAAAAGGTTGTAGTGAACTGTGACATCAGCAGTCTTTTACAACTGTTATCTGGACCATGGCTTCCAAAACGGTCATATATTCCGGACTTGACCGAAATTTATATAAAAAGACCGGCTGCTCTCAGCCTCAAACGGTCAAATATCATAGGTTTGCCACTTTTTGTTATTCAAGGCATTTTCATAAAACGGTCATTTCACTTTTTTTACCAACTATCGATCAGTAAAAATGTCCGTTTGGGCATTATAGTTTATAATTGTGGCAATCTATTTCACAAAGATATTTCGGTCATATTTGGGTTAAATTAAATAGATGCAGCATATTTCATACTTTGAAGTGTCTCAGTTAGTCTAATCCTCTGGGTACACAAATGCACGGCTTGCTACATCAATAAAAAGTCGAAAAAAAATTTGTTCTTTTATTTAAAAAACAACAAGCTGTCAAACAATTATCCCTTCAATAAGTAATATTGAAGCCATAAATCATTTACTGATTACAGGTCATTATCTTTGATGAGAGACCTTAGCTTGTCTTAATCAATAGAATTGATGATGCATAACAATGAACATAAAGGTGATCAGGTAAACGAGGTCAAACATGTAAGCGTGTATGGAACAACATCCTATTTAATTACGCTTTGTAGATATTATTGTAAATGACCATTCAGTTTTTAAAAAATTTCCTTAGATTTTAAAATAATTTTTCAAATAAGAATATTTATAAATGAATTCGAATATGTATGATATTCATTATTATATTTAAAAACACTGTACATCGTGTTGAATACTGGGGTACGCTAAAGGGTATTCAAAGTTATTTTCTTACATTTCAGCGGGTTACATCTAATTAATTTAGTCTAAAAGATTGAAATTATAAGAAATACGTTAATAAATATGATTTGATGAAAAATTTGAAAAGGTTTTAAACGAATAATCGTCAGAACCACGTTGTTTGAACTAGTACACGTGTGCGCATGTGTCTATTGTCCGCTGGTGGGAAATTTAATTATGCATCCTAATTCTTCAATAATGCTAAAATTATCATTGATTCCTTTATCTAACGTTCATTTCGAGTATTTTCTTGAAGAAATAACTTGAAAAGGCTACTTAACTCAATCGTAAACTTACACGGATATTACGTATCCGTCTCTGATCCATGATTTACCATTGTCAAGTCAACATCCGGCATTAGGAAAATGTGATTTTAAAAACAAAAGTAAAGCTTTTGACAGCGTTATTTGGCACAAATAAAGAGTCTAAAGCGGAATAGGTACGCTGATGTTGCACACTTCCAATGCTGCACTTTCAATTTAACACTTTATGTCAGAACATCGAATTTATATCAAAGTAAAGTTTAAGATCGTTTTAATGTCAATCATAATTTGGTTATATCAATTTTATCATATATGATGGCCAGCTGATTATCATAGTTGCCTAATTTACTAAGTCTAAAGGGATTTAAAATCGGGATAAGATATGAAATGTCCGGCTGGCTCAACAAAATTTTGGAAGCCCTGATCTGGACTGTCATGCACTGTTGTTTACAGACTGTTACTTCTGTTACCTGGACTGTCATGTACTGTTGTTTACAGACTGTTACTTCTGTTACCTGGACTGTCATGTACTGTTGTTTACAGACTGTTACAACTGTTACCTGGACTGTCATGCACTGTTGTTTACAGACTGTTACTTCTGTTACCTGGACTGTCATGTACTGTTGTTTACAGACTGTTACAACTGTTACCTGGACTGTCATGTACTGTTGTTTACAGACTGATACAACTGTTACCATGACTGTCATGTACTGTTGTTTACAGACTGATACAACTGTTACCTTGACTGTCATGTACTGTTGTTTACAGACTGTTACTTCTGTTACCTTGACTGTCATGTACTGTTGTTTACACAAAGTAAAGATGCATTCTTCTTAAGGACTGTGCTGTGTAAATTCCAAGCAATGTATAGATAACACGTGACAGTCTAGTTAAGGGTTGTGAAAGACTGTGATTCAGTCATCAAAAGATTTTAATAATCCAGGAGAAGTGTTTGTAATCCACTGTTATAGCTTGTTATTTGAATTAGCCCATAGCTGTTCAGGAACTGAAAATGGCTGCTACAGGCCTCATACTGGGATTTCTTATCTTATATACATAATGTGGTAGTGCAGAAATTGGCATAGTAGAATTGAGTTATGGGACAAAAAGTCTGAAAATCTTTCTATTGGCCTGTAGGTTAAATTCTTATAGACCCAGAAGCTGCCCAATAGTATTTTTTAAATCATGTGCTGGTGGTCCTGTGGAAGACTGGTCAACATTGAGGTTTCATTATCGTTATATCCCCTGACAATGTAGCGACTCCCTTTGAATATGAGGGTATATGTTTTACCAACAAAACTACTGTTGACATGACATTTATATAATATAAGTTATTAAAATATAGGTGCCAAATTAAATTATCTTCATTTTTTTGGGGAAAGAATTAGTATATTATTTTTCCTGGACTACCGGTATTCTCATTTTCATATATAATCTTGTCATTGTTCTGCAGAAATGTGAAATAAAATGCAAATTAAAAGATAATTTGACATTTAATTGTGTTTCATTTACAAATAGCTGCCAGGGGTAATGTGTTCAAATGATCCCTGCCTTTATGTACAAAGCTTCCAGTCCTTTATATGTGTAACATTAAGGAATATAATTTGCATTTTAATTATGAAGAGTCATTGATCTTTCATTTGAACAGAAACTAATTTACTCATTAACAAATGTGTGTTTGAGTGATATATATCAAGTGAAACCATATTTTAGCACAATGATTGCTTTCACATTCATTTAATGCTATTTGTTTCAACACAGAATCACTTGGAATAGGTATGAATGTGCACCTATTATGATCCATTGTGTATGATTGTTTCCAGCATTTTTATTTTTTTGGTGCTTTTATCCCTTTTTCTTGATAAAGACATGTTATACCTTTAGGCCAATTAAATTTATTTTTTGTTTGCTGTTGCGAAAATCACCTATTCTCATGTCATTTAAGAAATGTTACTTCTTCAAATTACATATTTTAAAAACATTTCAGTATTTCTTGTAAAGAATATAAGAATAATCCTGCCCCCTTTCAGAATTTTGAGTTGAGTTACAGTAAACAAATAACAAATTTAAGGATAGGCCAAGACAAATGTGTGGCCAGAATATATCTTTAGTTAGTTGAGTCTTTTTTATCCAATGCTTTGTCAGTGAAATATTGGAAATATATTGCTAAATGTTGTTTTTCTCCATTGATATTTTCAGAACATTAATTAACAAGATATCCAAGTCAATAGACCACTTTCGAGTTTTTTGCATTTCCATCAAAAATTTGGTTTTAGTGAACATCAGTCGTGCGTTTAGGGGCATTGTCACTTCCTTCCCATGTTGAACCAGCGGTTGAAAAAATATGATGCTATATTGCACGAATTTTTAGGCAAATTAAATTCTTAGTTATAATTGATAATCAGCACTGCTGTCATTAGGGAATTGTGATTAAGTACCTACGGAAATCATCATTTGTAGTTTATCCTACATGATGATCACCAAGACTCTTGATGAACTTTAATAGTCCAGGGATACAGACAGTCCCCTCTATATATGGTAAATGACGTCACAAAAGCGTGCATAATTGACAAACATTTCCGGTGAAGGACATAACTTGAAAGTGGTCTATTACATGATCAAAAGTTTTCCAATGTTGAAAATCCAGTTTAAGTGCACAATATCATATTATAGTCAAACACATAGTATGCACAAATAAACAGCTTCCATTAAGATTATACATCAACGAGACCATAATCTAACAACACAAAAAATTTAAAACACTTTTTGCAATCAACATTTATTCTATAGTGAATGTAGCAAATGTAGATGTGTTTCGGTGTAGTTCTATGTTTATTTATTATTGTACGTACCCTGACTAGATATGTTGTTTTTAAAATAATATATAACTGTAGTACAAAAGTAGATGTCTTGTGACATCAGTCTAATTCTGTAGTTTATAGATCATTTGGTTTTAGAACTTATCTCAGTAATTGTAACATATTTGGTGTTCGAATTTAAAAAAAAAGATTTTATAGAAATGATTCATTATTTTGTATTATATTCAGTGTACAGGCAAGCTGGTGGTTAGTATGTAGATTGGACTATATGTCAACTAATATACTATGTATTTGAGGGACTAGAAGGTTGGGGAGGACTATTGTTTTTTCACATACTCACACTATATTTCATCACTTTCTATGATAGAAGGGCAAAGTCATGAACCATTTATCACATCTCTTATGTATATTTTCCCGAAAAAATCTCAAGAGGACTTTTTATTTTTCGAGCTATTTTAAAAACTAGGATCATGATTTTTTTGACATGTTGCTAAAAATTACATAAATAGAGATAATATTTTAATATATATAGTCTACAAGAATTTAATGAAACAGTACATAATCACAACTTTTTATGCATATAAATCCTTATGGTTAAGTTAATCTTTTGTATAAATGCAGATTTTAAACCCTTCTGGTTCATTGTTGGGTGTTATTGCAGGTCAAACTTTGCCTTATAGTCCTTCATTTACACTAGAGGGTAGCTGTGTTAACCGGTCATCTTCTAATCTCGAAAATGACTATTTGAATAAGACTTAGTAAAACTGAATTGAAAAATAATACTTTAATGAATTAAACTGTTTTTTGATTGATAAATGCATGATTATGCTTTTTAATTATTTTATAATTATTTGTAGGAACAATAACTCATTTGTAAAGATTTGGTTTTGGTAAATGTTTTAACCAATGGTGTTTTAGGTGTTTGAAAAATAACTTAGAAACATATATAAGGTCAAAGACTTGAGTTTATAGAGCTAAAAATAAGAAGTATGATTTCATATTGTTTGTTTTTTCCTATAGTAAGCAGTTTTATTTCATTATATTACATTAACTACTAGTCTCATGCTTTTGTGGTTTTGGTTATAGTTACACTTTCTGTCGCCAATTCATTTATTTCATGTAGAAAACATTTAATAAAAACATAATTTTACATATTCATTACTTTTCTCTTTTTTTTTACTCTTTGATTGAGTAAATCATTATTAATAACATGTGGTACTTTTAAAAATTCAATTGGTTTCTGATTTGGTGCTTTTGTCCTTTTAGGTGTTATAAACAAAACAGCTGATATTGAAATCCCTGAATATAAAGCATCACCACCTCCTACAATCAGGGACTATGTCAATCCTAAAGTCGGAGATAAACTGTACGAGTCAGACAACAAATTTATACAGGAATGGCTCACAGGTTAGTATACAATCCTTCCCTAATCTTTAACCACAAGCTTTCTCAAAATCAGGAGCTGTACAATATATATATATATCAACCTAAAAGTCAAAAGTAAATTGTATAAATTATACAGAAAAAATGGCAGGTTTGCTTACATCTTTGCATAAAATTAGGCTATAAAGTACTGTAAATTCAGAATTTATTGCGAGGTTTTTATTATTGCGAATAATGCGACTGGGTAAGTATCGCAATAATTAGAACTCGCATTCAGATATCTGATTCCTGACATCGCAATAATTAGACCCGCATTTTTGTCCATTCTTCAAAAATCGCAATAATTTCTGAATTTACAGTATTCAGTTTTATGTTTTAATCTTCCTAAAGGACAATCTTGTTCTAAGACAACCCATCAGAAAGCCTTGGGCAACACACTTATAAAGGTATGTCAGACATTGGTATACAACACTCCTCCATCCACAAATCAGATACATTCCTCATATAGTCATTTTTTGTAAAATGTGTGTTAACCCAAAATTTGAATATAAAAATCAAATCAATGATAACAGATGTAAAGAAATATTTTTACATTTTTGACTGCTATAAGCAATTTTGTATATTTCAGCAAACATTCAAATATATATAAATAATAAATATAAAAAAAATCAATTCGGAATCTTTAGTTTGTAAGGATTATAAAATGCTATTTCAGGAAATTTACAGAAAAGTTTAAGATTTACTGAATAAAACAGTTGATATATGTTAGGTGGTGAGCAGGTTTACTGAATAAAAGAATTGATGTATGTCAGGTACTGAGGAGGTTTACTAAATAAAACAATTGATGTATGTTAGGTGCTGAGCAGGTTTACTAAATAAAACAATTGATGTATGTCAGGTACTGAGTAGGTTTACTAAATAAAACAATTGAAGGTATGTTAGGTACTGAGCAGGTTTACTCAATTGATGTATGTTAGGTGCTGAGCAGGTTTACTAAATAAAACAATTGATTTATGTTAGGTGCTGAGCAGGTTTACTAAATAAAACAATTGATGTATGTTAGGTGCTGAGTAGGTTTACTAAATAAAACAATTGATGTATGTTAGGTACTGAGTAGGTTTACTAAATAAAACAATTGATTTTTTATGTTAGGTGCTGAGCAGGTTTACTAAATAAAACAATTGATGTATGTCAGGTACTGAGTAGGTTTACTAAATAAAACAATTGAAGGTATGTTAGGTACTGAGCAGGTTTACTCAATTGATGTATGTTAGGTGCTGAGCAGGTTTACTAAATAAAACAATTGATTTATGTTAGGTGCTGAGCAGGTTTACTAAATAAAACAATTGATGTATGTTAGGTGTTGAGTAGGTTTACTAAATAAAACAATTGATGTATGTTAGGTACTGAGTAGGTTTACTAAATAAAACAATTGATTTTTTATGTTAGGTGCTGAGCAGGTTTACTAAATAAAACAATTGATGTATGTTAGGTACTGAGCAGGTTTACTCAATTGATGTATGTTAGGTGCTGAGCAGGTTTTTTAAATAAAACAATTGATGTATGTTAGGTGGTGAGTGGGTTTACTAAATAAAACAATTGATGTATGTTAGGTACTGAGCAGGTTTACTCAGTTGATGTATGTTAGGTGCTGAGCAGGTTTTTTGAATAAAACAATTGATGTATGTTAGGTGTTGAGTAGGTTTACTAAATAAAACAATTGATGTATGTTAGGTGCTGAGTAGGTTTACTAAATAAAACAATTGATTTTTTATGTTAGGTGCTGAGTAGGTTTACTAAATAAAACAATTGATGTATGTTAGGTACTGAGTAGGTTTACTAAATAAAACAATTGATGTATGTTAGGTGCTGAGTCGGTTTACTAAATAAAACAATTGATGTATGTTAGGTGCTGAGTAGGTTAACTAAATAAAACAATTGATGAATGTTAGGTGCTGAGTAGGTTTACTAAATAAAACAATTGATGTATGTTAGGTGCTGAGTAGGTTTACTAAATAAAACAATTGATGTATGTTAGGTACTGAGCAGGTTTACTCAATTGATGTATGTTAGGTGCTGAGCAGGTTTACTAAATAAAACAATTGTTTTATGTAAGGTGCTGAGCAGGTTTACTAAATAAAACAACTGATTTATGTTAGGTGCTGAGCAGGTTTACTGAATAACAGAATTGATGTATGTCAGGTACTGAGTAGGTTTACTAAATAAAACAATTGATGTATGTTAGGTGCTAAGCAGGTTTACTAAATAAAACAATTGATGTATGTCAGGTACTGAGTAGGTTTACTAAATAAAACAATTGATGTATGTTAGGTGCTGAGGAGGTTTACTCAATAAAACATTTGATGTATGTTAGGTACTGATCAGGTTTATTAAATAAAACAATTGTTTTATGTTAGGTGCTGAGCAGGTTTAATCAATAAAACAATTGATTTGTGTTAGGTGCTGAGCAGGTTTACTCAATAAAACAATTGATGTATGTAAGGTACTGAGCAGGTTTACTAAATAAAACAATTGATGTATGTTAGGTGCTGAGCAGGTTTACTAAATAAAACAATTGTTGTATGTAAGGTGCTGAGCAGGTTTACTCAATAAAACAATTGATGTATGTTAGGTACTGAGCAGGTTTACTAAATAAAACAATTGATGTATGTTAGGTACTTAGCAGGTTTACTAAATAAAACAATTGATTTTTTATGTTAGGTACTGAGCAGGTTTACTAAATAAAACAATTGATTTATGTTAGGTGCTGAGCAGGTTTACTAAATAAAACAATTGATGTATGTTAGGTACTGAGCAGGTTTACTAAATAAAACAATTGATGTATGTTAGGTACTGAGCAGGTTTACTAAATAAAACAATTGATTTTTTATGTTAGGTACTGAGCAGGTTTACTTAATAAAACAATTTATTTTTTATGTTAGGTACTGAGCAAGTTTACTCTAAAGACAAAGAGAAGATAGTTATGTCATCAACCAGCCATTACAAAAAGTTCTACAAGATTGATCGACCAAAACCTGCAGATGGTTGGTATCCTATCGATGTAATGGAAGAAAAGGATACATACAGAACACAGTCTCCCACACCGACACCTAGAATGAAGAGAGTAGAGAGAGGATTCAAACGTTGGAAGGCTTTACCAGAACCAACAGTTAGTTTATGTTACTGTTAACCCAGTCATTGAAATTTGACTTTTGCTAAAACGTTTAATTTAATGCCTCCGTAGCGGAGGGGGCATTAAGTTTTACCCTTGTCCGTCTGTGCGTCCGTACGTACGTCCCATAGTTGGTTTCCATTCTCTAACTTTAATTTGCCTTAACCAAATGTTATGAAACTTATACACAATGCTTATTACCACATAACACAGATCAAGTTTGAATTTTGGTGGTGTCACTTCAACGGTTCTAGAGTTATGCCCCTTTACAAATGGAAAAATTGCCTAATTTTTCATTTCTGTTCTCTAATTAGTTTGCCTCAACCAAATGCTATGAAACTTATACACAATGTTTATTACCACAAAATCCAGATCAAGATTGAATTTTGGTGGTATCACTTTAACAGTTCTAGAGTTATGCCCCTTTACAAATGGAAAAATGGCTGAATTATTCGTTACCGTTCTCTAACTTAAGTTTGCCTCAACCAAAATGTATGAAACTTATACACAAAACTTATTACCACAAAACTCAGATCAAGTAAAAATTTGGGTAGCATCACTTTTACTTTTCTGTAGTTATGTCCCTTTATAACTTTATATAATATGCAAGCGGGGGCATCATCTGTGTCCCATGGACACATTCCCCATTTATTTCAGATTTAATATGATCATAAATGAAAAAAACAGAGAAATACAAAATTAGCTTATTTGAATCAACTCAAATAATTGCATGAAAAACTGTCATAAAATATAATATGATTTCAAAGTTCTGCTTGTTTAATATGATCAAACTGATAACCATAAACTTTTTTTTGGGGGGGGAGGGAGTTGAAATAAGTGCTTGTGAGTGATAAGTGAGTATAGTATGCTGATGTCTGCAGGCTACCTGCAGGGAAAGTGGGTTTTTATTTTGTGTAATCAAGTCCAATACAATGACTATATGACAAAGATTTTCATAGTCTTAATTTTGACCATTAAAAAAATACTATTGCAAGAGAAACAAAGAGTATATGATTTATTCAATAGGATGGAGAAGCCACATCCATGATACCACCAGGATTTGATCCAGAATTTCACAGGTCACCTGATCCTACTACTAGACGTCTGACTAAGCAGAACGCTTCCTTAGTACAAGTCAGTAAGTAGTAACTGTTGAAGTGGACATCATACAGATTTAGAGAATATCATTAGTTTTATATAGAACTTGTTTTTAGATAGTTGTACATAGATTATTTATATTATTTAAGGAAAGAATTACTAATTTTGAAAAAAATCATTTTAGCTCTGCAACAATTGTATATGAGTTCTAAGATCAATACAATAAAGGAATCACTTTGATGTAAGGGACTTTTTTTATGTAATATAATATATTTATTTATTTTGAATTCAAAGCAATGGCTAAACCATAAAAAGACAGTATTCACTTTAATATTTTAATTACCTTGAATATTTTGAACTATTTTGAGAAATTTTCTTACAAATAAACAAATTCTTTATTGCCAATTTGGATGCCCCTAGAGGCAGTGTTGTACAAAGGCAGAAAAAGTATAATCAAGTACTAAAAGACGATGAAAAAACACAAGTGTTTATATTCAAATGAATACAGTAATAAAATTGATGATGTATGTAGAGCTCTTTATATTGTCTAATATTATCTTCAAGATGAGGTATTTACTTATATCTCTATATACTAAAATTTCAAAATGTCATTATCTATTGAAATTTTTATGATAATCATTACTTGTTTCTGTTGTGTATCATGCATTTGCATTTGCAAAGAACATATAGCATTTTACATTTTTGTATTTCATAAGAATTACCAGAAATTTCAGACTCCGACAATATCATATACAAACCACCAGAAAGGAAAATGTCTGGTAAAATATTGTTTTGCTGCCACTATTGTGAATATCTATTTATCTTACTGACACAATGCCAGTCTGTTACTGTTTTATTGGCAACTTTTTAAGTTATTATTAGAATGGGCTACTTTTGTGGCTGCTATTCAGTTATCTTGTCAGAATGAAATATCTTTTCACTCTATTGATGCTTTCTATTTTACTGTTTATTTTTGTATTTGTTTTTTGCATGACTGTTTATCTACAGAGCTTGTTGTTTGTATGAATTGCAGCTTTCTGAGGAATGATGCCAAATTTTTGAGAGTATATATTCAATCATTAATATGCCAATGTGACTGCTAAAGTCTTTATTACTCAGCTTTAAAAGGGGACATCTCAGAAATCTAAGCTATAACATATCAATGCACAAAACGTAAACAAATTTATTCTCCACTGAAGCTCAAATATAAATAAAGGAAACAATTTCCTTCTTTGTGCATTTGAAAAAATGATTTAAATTAGATTGTAGGCTTGTTTACATATTTTTATACAATTGATATGTTTAACATATGTCTGAAATTGAAAACACAGTATTCTTTTCATATATTTGTGAAGGAAAAAAATGCTTCCAGTACTTTTCTTTGACAATTTTTTACCCATTATTAAACGGTGGTTTAAGTGGTCGGTAACTCATGAAAGCAAAGTGTGATATCATGAAAGAGTCAATTATTTTTTTGTATGTGACAATCAGATCTTGACAATGCTTGCAACAGATAAGAGATAAATTAGTTGTGCTAAGGAAATGATTGAATTCGCTGCTATGCCATGTAATCATAAACTGTAATTTACTATTATGTTAGTATTTACAGAATTTCATTTGTACTAAAACCATGTAGTCCCCCAAATGACATTGCTTTTAGGCTGGCTACTATTTGTCTAAATAGAAATGTCATCTTTTGATGTATTTTTATATACTTAAAATGAATATTATAATTTAAGTTGATGAATGGAGGCAGAGGTATCACTTGAGTGGACAGTTACTTGACAGTACTCCTGACGATTTGATCCGAGACATGGGCGACATCCAGTCCCATGTCAGACTACAGGCCATAGCTACACTCAGTAAAGTAGCAGAGTACAGGGCTGCCACAGAAGATCCCTTTAATATGGCCTTTAAAGACATACCATTAGACAATCCTTACTCTCGTAGCATTCCAGAGAAGTTGTATGTAGCATTAGAGTGTCTGCTGGAAGATTCTAATGACAGAGTTAGATGTGCTGCAGCAATAACCCTGTATTCATTGAATAGGCCATGTGATAAGGTAATGCATAAATAATTAGTTTGTTTTATTTCTTTAACAATGTTATACATTTATATCTATAATATACCAATGAATTTTATGTGAAAAAATAGTTAAATTTGATACATGATAAATGTTTTAAAAAAGATCACTCTAAAAGACTCATTTGAAATTGTTTAGTAGCTGATCAAGGAAATAATAATTATTATTGAACAGAAAAATTAGCCTTGTCATTTACATTATCTGTTATAAGGTTGAGAATGTAAAATTAAAGGTTAACAATTTTATAGAATGTTGCATAAGTAAAGAGATTTTTAAGAGGTAAACTGGTTTCACTGTGAGAAAAGTTTATGAATGTGGATGTTTTCTACTGGAAAAAGCACTTTGAAAAAAGTGTTCTGAACTTGCTATTTTTGTATTACAGTCTATATGAATATAAAACTTTATTAATTGGTGCATCGAAAGCCATTTTCTGGATTTACCTTCATCAGGAATGACTAAAAGCACAAATTTGAAAGCTGGGGGTGTATAAATTTTAAAGAGCTATACTTAACAAATGGGACCTTAACAGAATAGTTCAAACCATCTCAGTCAACTTTGCAACTTTGGGAATTGGAACCTTACTTTCTTAATAATTTCTAAATTTATCAACGGAAAATAACAAGACAAATCACTGACTAATGGACTAATGATACACTCGTATATTTTTATTATGTGTTCATTTTCAGGCCAAAGACATCATGTATGGAACAATGAAAGGAGAATCTCGGATAGATAGATGGGCTGCAGCTCAGTGTCTGGCTCATTCTGGAGTATGTAACTCGCTAATAGTAGGGGAGATAATCCACCAGCTACTGACCACAGAGGACACCATCAAACATGAGAGAGCTATATCTCTGCTTGGAAAACTAAGTATTTTCTCTGTAAGTGTTGAAGTTAAACTTGAAAGAGTTATACATATATCAAGGTTGGCAAAAACCCGGGTTTTATGAGTATTGCCCAGCCCAGTGGGAAATACTGGGAAAACCCGGGTTTTACTGGGTTTTACCAGGTAATACTGGGCAATACTGGGTAATATGAAATACTGGCCTGAATTTTAAGGTTTAAAACCACTTATTCATAGCCCCATTGCTTTCTATGTTAAATTCTGCAATTTCAAGCATAAATGGCTACTTTGTCTGAAGTTCAAATAAAGTGGCAGTTATTTCATGTCAAAACTGTACCTTATGCTGACTTGTGCTGAAAAAATCAACATACCTTTAATTGCATATTAGAGCGTACTGGTTCCCGGAAGTTTGATAGTACAAAAACAGGAACTTCTGATCTGAACAACAGGCCAAATGAGCCCTCCTTTTAAAATTTCATATACTTCTTTATTATTCAAATAAAACTTTCAACAAGGGTTCTACAGTGATCCCAAGTCCCCAAGCTTTCATTTGATACTAAAACTACCCAAATATTCCCACTATTGACAAAGATACAGCTATGCGTAGGAACTATTTTGTTTAAAATATGTACTACTTTCTTGTATGTTCTTTTGGACCGGGCCTGAATTAGTGGTTCTAAACCTTAACGTGGATTAATCACAAATACAATAAGTTATAGAATTTTTTTAAAATAAGATATAGTATTTTAATTTATAAGTTCACTTGTTTGAGATTATTAATAAAAAGTGTATAAATCTGAGAAAAGAATAATTTTCCAGCAACTCTAAGACAAGTGTACATGAAGAAATATAAGACAAATGTGAAAAGCTTTTCTTAATAATCCTCCTAAAAATCTATTTAATTACCATTCTGTCTAGATTGGTCAAAGTGTTGACTTAATGTCGAAGAATTCATTTTTTTTTTTTTTTTAATAAATATAACGTGTATTAAGAATTAACAATTATATTAAATTTGTTTTCATTATCTAAAAATGTTTACTTAGTTTTAGCATATGTTTATGTACATCACTAATTGATAAGTAATTATTCAGATTATAACACACATTTGTTTATATAACAACAACCAGCCTTTTGATTTCAATGAGTGTTTATGGCCTGTCCCCTTAGGGTGTTTATTTACCAATAGGAATGTATAACAATTAAAATTTAAAATTCACTTAAACACTGCAATTAAATGCATTTTTTTCAAAGTTTCAAATTGGATTATTGAAACAAAGCTTCGAAATTGACAAGGTATCCTGAAATGTGCAAAACTTGTATTCTGCCTACATAGAACTAGTGGAGAAAAGGAGGAAATTGAATTGTCAATCTTCAGGAATGACTCTTGATGGTTATCTGTATAGAATGTATATATTTAGCTATAATACTATTAAACTACAACAAACCTTTACTATTTTGTGTTAAAATAAGCTTGAAAAATCATATTACCCAGTATTGCCCAGTATTACCCGTTTCTGGGAGTATTGCCAACCCTGACATATATGCTTTGAAATTTTGGTATATTGTGTATATATTTGATGGTCAATCTTTTAAAATTTTGTATATTCTGTGTTAGTGATAGTTAAAAATTAGGGAAATTAATCTCTGCTAGATAACCTAGTATATTATGTGATTGATTGATAACAGTTTAATACCATAGTAGCACATATGGGCTATGTCACAGCAAGAACATATTATGTTGAAAAAAACACAATAAAAAGTCAGTCAAAGATCAATCACATAGGTAAAAATCTATTTTGCATACAATATTACTATTCACGTATGTAAATGTGAGAATATTTTGCATAGATATGAAATGAAAATAGATATAATTCCTTGCTGGGAAAGCTTTTATCATCCTTGAAACTAATATTTGTCAGATTTGACTCTGAGTTAGAAATTAGGATGAATATATAATGCTTAGATCATCACATACATCTTGCCTATAGCTTCCGCTTTATAAATTTATACCATGAATTTATTTGAGAGCTTATAAGATAGCAACATGAAATCCAGTAAAATATCACTTCCTGGGATCTTATTCTGTAAGAGTATTTACAAATTTTGTAAGCGCCACATCTCAGTTAGATAGATATTCTGTCACTGATGGTGCCATACCAATATCATATTTATCAACCATTACAATAAAGACATTGTTTTAAGCCATTCATTTTATCTTTTTTAATAGAGAAATGTAGGGCATTCCAAAATTCTCTTAACTTTAACATATTACATGTACATTCTACTTTCAGCCATTGGTTCATGGAATGACAGCAGAATTATTAAACAGTTCAAGCTGGCGACATAAAGTGATAGCCTGTAAAATATTACCAACTTTACATGGTACAATTAATAAGGTATAAAGCTTTAGAAGTAATTGCTATTGATTTTATTCTTAGGAAAAAAAAGATAATCTATGTTCATTTATTGTCTTTTTTTTAGTATTGGTAGTTTGTATTGCCAAAACCTTAATGGTAAGTGTTTTCTATTATCAAAATAATTAAATTAATAGCTGTCTTTATGGTTGTGTGTTTGGGTTGTCTTTGGGGGTGGGGGGGGGGGGGGGGGGGTATGTCTTGTCATATATTGTCCAATGGATTATTGACATTTAAGAAATTCCTTGTAATGCAGCTTCACTTGTTATTCTTTTAGTCTTCACTGGACACTTTTATTTTACCAACTTAAAATATGGTTGTTACCAATCAGCCCCTTCTAAGCAATCAAATCAAAAACATGTTTGGTAGGGAAACTCTTATGTTTCAAAACAAATTTCTGATAAGACAAAAAATCCATTAATACCCAATGACAACCAATGGGCCTTAAATGCTGAGTAGCATGAAGAGGGTAGGTGAGGTGAGGTGACGACCAATGGGCCATAAATGCTGACTAGCATGAAGAGGATAGGTGAGGTGAGGTGACAACCAATGGTAAGATGTTTGACTTGGGACAGATATATTTACATATGTCCTTTTTAAACCAGTTTATTACATATCAACACTAACTGAATGTTATAACCATATACTGCCAGTTTAGATAGCTTGTTTATATGTTAAATTTTGTAGGATATTACAAGTAAATTATCAGATTTAATGTGGAATGATTGGCACTCGGATGTAAGGAAGAGTGCAGCTCAGTGTCTTGGTAAAACTAGTCATGGAAAGGAAGTGCATGATGACTTAAAGGAAAGACTCACTATAGATAATGAAGAAATTAGACTGGAGGCTATCAATAAGATTGGACAACTAGGTAATGATAGATTTGAAAGGGGAGATGAAGAATTTAACATGAAATATGTTACGAAGTAAAGGTCTTCAGACTGGTAAATGTTCATATACAGAAAAACCTGATTAAAAGTACTTTTTACATCTATTATAAAATAAACTGTTCTTTTATAAATGGACAGTGAGAGCTAATTTCTTTATATTGGGAGTTTAAATCTGTTTTTGCATTTAGTACTATACATTGATATTTTCTATGTTGTAGGTATAATGACAGCTAAATTGTTGCCTACTTTCCTGAAATGTTTTGAGGATGACTATATATCTATCAGATCAGAAGTCTGTATTACCTGTGGTAATATTGAGCTTAAAGATGAAGTAGTCGTAGAGAAATTGATCCTTCTAGCAACCTTTGACCCCATCTGGAAGGTCAAAGCATTAGCATTCCAAGGTAAGTTTAACACATGATATTACACTGTTGATGTTTTTAACATTACAGTAATATACTGTGACTTTAGAAATTAATGCCATATTTTCAATAATATGAAAAATGCAATGGCATGAGCATCCCAATAATTAATTTTGCTTTGTTGTCACTTGTTGAAAATGCCCTATAACTGCATACACTGAAATCTGAATTTATAGTATTTGGAATTACTACACAAAGTGTCTTTAAAAATAAACTTTATTAGTACCAGTCTTAGATACAGAAAAAAAAGTTGGGCTTGCCAAGAATTTTGATCATGTTTCTTGCTATAGTTTAATAAAACTAAAATTTGTGTCAAGTAAATTTATGGTTATTCCTTTTATACTGCATTGCTTTAAACTATTCAGAAGATAATATGTTGAGTGAAAGTTGTGAATTTCAACCTGCAGTCAAATAAAAAAATCAACAAAGCTATTTGCCGTAACATTTTTCTGTGGAAAAATTGTTATCATCAGCAGGCTGTATACCATAAGTGACTTTATAGATCGATTTTTGTATACATGCACAGTAAATACAGGTTGAATTTACAAAACGCACACTGGCAGTCTAAGGATTTATTGGTAATCCATAATTTGTTGAAAAAGAATTCATGAAATCTGTGCCATTGCAAACATGATACAAAGAAATATTACATTCACTTTTTAATACCAAAATGTTCAATATGTTCCTTACTTTGAAAGTAAAATGTACTAGACAGAGTATAACTATAGGGAACATTTTACTGAATGTCTCATTTCAATTCTATTTAAAATCTTGTATGTAGCAGGTTTATATTGTTTGACAACTGTAATGCACTATTTGAATGTTTTTCATGTATGTCAATGTAGAAAATTCCATACCTTATACAGTCCATAGTATTGAATTATAATTGAAAAAAAGGATATAGGGTATTCTTCCATGACCCGAAATCAGTACATGCAGAGCAAAAAACACAAAAAGAAAAGGAACAGTGCTTTTATTTCTGTTCTTCATTATTATATCTGATTGTTTTGATTATTATACTAAAGTCAGTGCTGAAAACTTAACACCTCAATTAAAAAATTTTTGCAGCATATGAAGAAGCTCTCAGACCAATTGTTTGGCAAGTACATAATTCTTTAATATTTTACTTTTAGCCTTAGGCAATATTGGAGTCATATCAGAAGAAATAACAGAATGTTTACTGTGGGCTGTCAGATATGAAGAGAAGGCAGCTGTACGAGCTGAGGCATGCCATACTATTGCTGTATTAGAATTGCAAACAGAAGATGTTGCAGAGGTCCTACAAGAAAGATTTTTAGTAGAATCCAGTCCAATAGTCAGAGAGTGAGTAATTCAGAATAATCATTACATCAATGAACATGTATTTGAATTTTTTACAAACTTTTTAATGTAAAATAGTACTATTTGGTGTATGAAGTGACAATTTTAAACATTTAGAATAATTTGGCTTGTTTTAGCAGATACAACGAAACTAATATGAATGACTCATTTAACAGAATATTATTGCAAATTGTTTATAGGAAGAAAGAAGTAAGAATCAAACAAGGAAATACTAAAACCACCAAGTTTTTAAGGTGAAATTACCATAGTTTAAATAATACAAAACAATAAAAGATAATAGAGAGAAAATTGCTGCCCAATATTTCATGCTAAAAGGTTATTGTCAAGTGATATTGTGAAAAGAGAATAAAATTAAAGGAGAATAGAATGATAAATCAGTACAATATATAGACTGTCAGTTTGCTGTTATGAACTATTAGTTTGGTATTGGTTTTACTTGTTGTACCATGCTATAGTAACTAAATAACTGTTTATATTACAGTGAAATAGCGGCTACTTTGCAGATGTTCGGTATTAGTGCTACTGAGGATATGGACATGGTGACGCAGATAAAAAGTGAAGTCCGTAAACTGTGTACACGTAACAATATTGCCAGTCAAATTGTCCTGAATGAAAAAGATCAACAAAAAGAGGAAAATCTGGCTCGTATGATATATGAATCTCAGAAAGAGGTTAAGGTACACCAAGACAGATTTTTATGTTGCTACTTTCTGCACTTAACCTTGTAGATAATTTATGTTAAAGTTTCCAAAATTTGCATAATCTTCATTATCAACACTCACAGGTAGAATTTTTGAGTATTTCTCCGTTTAAGAATCATGCAGTTATTAGCACTTGATTAAGCTAAGGTACCACTACCTTTTCCTTTCATATTTTAAAAAGCCTCCATTTCCTTATATTCAAACCTACAAGAAGACCATACTAATTATACACCTTTGTATATATATATATATATACTTATTGTACATATTTGCACATATATAATTATATACTATAAATCTTACATATTGCATATTAAATAATCATACTTCTTTGCCTGTATACTAATTGTACACCTTTGCACATAAATAATAATCTTACAACTTCACATATAGACTAAAAGTTCATCTTTGCATGTAAACTGATTATACATCTTTGCATATATACTCATTGTACATCTTTGCATCAAACTGATCTTACAAATTTGCATATTAACTAATTGTACTTCTTTGCATATAAAATAATCATACTTCTGTGCCTGCATACTGATTGATTTTTAGCTCATCTGGCCCAAAGGGCCAAGTGAGATTTTCTCATCACTTGGTGTCCATCGTCATCGTTGTCGTCCGTGATCATCCATTTTTACAAAAATCTTCTTCTCTGAAACTACTTGACCAAATTTAACCAAACTTGGCCACAATCATCATTGGGGTATCTAGTTTAAAAAATGTGTCCGATGACCTCACCTGCTATCCAAGATGGCCAACATGGCTAAAAATAGAACATAGGGGTAAAATGCAAGTTATGTCTATTATTTTGAAAATCATTTTAAAAAGAGAAAATCTGACAGGGCAAAAATGTTCAGAATGTTGAGCTCTACGAATTGTTCATTACGTCAAAGCTGTCAGAGGACATCTACTTGGAGTTATTGCCCTTAATGACAAATATTACCATTTTTTTTCATTTTTGCCTATTATCTTGAAAACTAAAATAGATACAGAAAAACTTTAAATTACAAAAATGATCAGCAAGACAAGATCTACAAATAAGTCTGCAACTGGTCTAAATCGCCGAGATTTATTTCATGAATTCTATTCTCGTTTACAATTTTGAAGAGTGTCCTTTCTTGAATATACACATAGATCTAGGTGAGCGGCACAGTGCCTCTAGTTAAGTCTTAGATAAATGATTTTTTTTTATTAGTTGTTATTGGCTTTGAACAAGCTGTCAGTAACTGTGAGTACTCTCAGATTTGTACATTGTGTTTTTTTTGTTTTTAGGGATGTATAAATACCCTGCCACGTCCTGTTTGTGTTTTTGTTTTTCAGCTTTGTAAAGATCTGATGAGTTAAGCCCTTTTCAACTGATTTTTATAGTTTGTTCTTATGTTGTACTGTTACACCACTGTCCAAGGTTAGGGGAGGGTTGGCGCCTTCAAACATGTTTAACCCAGCCACATTCTATTTATGCCTGTCCCAAGTCAGGAGCCTGTAGTTCAGTGGTTGTTGTTGGTTCATGTCTGTCATATTTGTTTTTCCTATATTGTTTTGTTATAAATTTGGCAGTTAGTTTTCCTAATAGAATTGTTTCATATTTTTCATGGTAGGGGCTTTTATAGCTGACTATACAGTTTGGATTTTTCTCATTGTTGAAGGCCGTACCGTTACCTATAATTGCTTACATTCACTACATTTGAACTCTGGTGAATAGTTGTCTCACTTGCAATCATACCACATCTCCTTATTTATTTTTATACTAATTGAACACCTTTGCACATATATACTAATCTTACAACTTTGCATCATTACTAATCATAGTTTGTATATATACTATATAATCATACTTCTGTGCATGCATGCTAATTGTACACCTTTGCACATGTATACTAGTCTTACAACTTTACATCTTTACTAATCATAGTTTATATATATGTAGGACTCAAATCCATGGTGGGTTCCAGATCTATGGCAGATCCCTAATCTATGGCAAATATGACGTCATGCCATCCCAAATCTATGGCAGATTTGTTACAATCCTAATCTATGGCAAGTTTTGTAATTTCCTAATCTATGGCGGATTTTTGTTGTTTCCAAATCTATGGCAAATTTTGTGCATATGGAAAACAAGGCAGTACATATACGATTGATGCCTTTTCTTAAACAAGTGAAAATGTATGAAAACGGAAGCATGTTTATAAACATTTTTGAAACAAACATTCCTATACCATAATACAGACCTCAGGATTAAAATGATGCGCCCCGGAAAAATAAGCGTCTGCTCTTTGGTCGGTTTGTTGTCTCTTTGACATATTCCCCATTTTCATTCTCAATTTTATTAATTTTATGGTACCTGTTTAGTCTATTTATTAAACGAACTAATAAAAATGGAAGTCCCATGACAAACAAGAAAGCAGTTTTTTTTATGAAAAGAATCAAACAGTTTAATTTTTCATATAATATTTATTTGAGCGTTAATCAATTTTTTTTTAACTAATGACGATTTAAGTCAAAGTGGTATCCTGTAAATTTCATCTCTCACTTTATATACATTGCCAGGCGTAGATGCTAAAATATAAATTATAACTCCTTTCCTAAAATATCCACTACTAAAAACAGCCGTGCCTTTATTCATCGCGGGATTCGGACAGTACAGCACATCTTCCTTTAAACCATCGGCTAATTGTTTTTAGAGGGAGAGTGTTTCCCTGTGTTTTTGTTTGTAAAAATATGAAATCTGTGAGCCCCGTGTTAAATATTTGTTTTCGGTTTACATCATACAATTAAAAGAAAAAAATTATAAATGGTGTTCAAATCTATGCCGGTTCTGCCAACGTTAGCGCCGGCGACGACGACGTAATTATGGCGTTATTTAATTGTGACACTATATGTTACTCTTTTCCCCGGAAAATTACGCAATTTCAAGATCTGCCATAGATTTGGAGAAAACAAAAAACTGCCATAGATTTGATTTGTAACGTCATATTTGCCATTGATTAGGAATCTGCCATACATTTGGAACCCACCATAGATTTGAGTCCTACATATATACTATATATAAAATCATACTGCTGTGCATACATACTAATCATACTTCTTTACACATGTATACTAGTCTTACAACTTTACATCTTTATTAATCATAGTTTGTATATACTATAATCATACTTCTTTGCACATATCATAATCATACTTCTTTGCACATATCATAATCATACTTTTTTACACATATATATACACTACTTTTACATCTTTTTATATATACTAATCAAACATCTTTGCACATATACTAATTGTTGCTTTCTTTTTTTAACACAGCTCTTTTTCCGCAAAAAGCACCCATATATTCATGCTAAGCTTAAAAATGCAGGAAAAAATAGGAAAGCTTGTCACTTCGCTATTAGCTATCATCATTTCTCATATAACTTCATATTACACAATGTGAGTATAATCTAATATTTTAACATAATAAAAAGAAAATAAGGCCCCTAAAATAAGTGTGTTTACAATCTGACATCTGATTGACTTTAACCCTAAACATTTTTTCTGTGATAAAATTGAGTTATCTTTCTTGGACCAAAATGTCCTGTAAGGGCATTCTTCCATGCATAGCACAAAACTTGACAAAGAGACCAACACTTTCATGATTTAACAACATATTGTATGAATTTTAAGTGATCAATGCTCTTTTATGAACATAATGTAACGCCCCTGGTCAAGCATTACGAAGCTAAACTATTGTGTGTGTATATTAATATACAGGACCAACCTTGGTAGCAGTAACTTTCAGTGGTAATTGTGAAACTGCAATTGTAACTTGGAAATAACTTGGTAGCTTAGCTGAGCAGTCTAGACACTGGTTTCTAAATTTGTAGTTAGATGAAATATAAGAAAAACAGTTATAAGTTTCTACAATGACTATTTAATCAGTCATGAATATTAATAAACATCATCAGTAAATGCCCCAGAGCAAGAAAACAGTACAGGGACCCCCCCCCCCCCCCCCCCCCCCCTTGGACATTAATTGTCATGTGTTAATATGGAGAATATGGAGAAAGTGTAGTAAAACATCATCTAGGTCATTCATGGTTTGGTCCATTAATTCAAAGGGGATACATAAAATATCAAAGGTACCCGGTACATGTATTTTATGGGTTGCATCGACTGTGGCATATTTTGTTTGCTCTGGTAATTTCCTTGGTATCAGGAGTGAATGCCCGGGTGGTGGGCCACAGTCTCTTAGGAGAACTGATATGCACTCGATTTTATACAACTGTCCCACCAAAGTCTTGTGGCCCTATGGTGAATGTGGGCAAATTACGTAATGCAGATTGGCTGCTGATCTCAGGCCATGAGGTCAATAACGTCAATATAGTTGCTGATGCTAAACTATACCATTATTTCCAGAGACCTTACTAACAATATTTACACACAATAACAATAAAGGTATATTTAATGTTCATCAAATGTCTGCATACGCTTTGGCTAACAGTAAACGGCAAACACAGAAAGTATACGTGAGTGTTTACTAAGTAGCCTGAAAAAGTGGTATGTACATACCGAACAGCCTACCTACTAAACCGTAACAATATTATTATATCTTTTTCCAGAATAATGCATTGACAACAAAATCCTTGTAAAAACAATTGTGACAGGACTATTTAATTAAGGATGTATTCTTCTGACGTTTCAGTCTCGTTGAAATCTCGTTCAGGAATTATTTCCAAAACATGTGATACAAGTGGAAAATATCAATGAATTTAAAAAATGTTATAATCAAACTGAACTCTGTGAAAAAATTGTGCATTTACAATGAATAGTTTTTGAGTAATCAATTTTTCAAATTTTATTACCAATCAAGTCAGTCTTTTTAGCCAAAATTTTGAGAAAATGGGTGAGGGGTACAAGAAATGATTTTACCAGAAACATGTACATCCCATATCACTTTTTTCTTTTCAAATTTCTTAGATATGTATTTTTTCAATCATTTATAACAAAGAAGTTGAAATGATATGCATTTTGTTCTTTAAACAGAGAAAAATCACAAATTTACGAAATTGACAGCATGGTAAATTTGACACAAAAAAGCATCAAAATATGATAAAACTTTCTTATATTAACACCTACCTATACTTTTTTTAAGTTAAATTTATTCAGATTGGTCCACTTCATCTTTATTGAAAGTATGAAAAAAAGTTTAATTGTGGAACTGTGATTTTTTTCACGAAAATAGCCCAAAAATAGGTAAAAATTTATGAAAAATGGGAAAATCATCAAAATTGGGTACTTTCAAAGGGCCGTAGCAAAAAAAGAAGTGCCCCACCATATGATTTTTTCTTCTCCAATTATTTTTTTCAATCATAGAAACCCAAAAATCAGGTTAAGAAAAAAAGTTTAATTCTTGAAATTTTTGGCTCCTCAGAGGTGTACATCCTTAAATAGTTTTTGTCGAGCCTGCGACTTTTGTCGCAGAAAGCTCGACATAGGGATAGCGATCCGGCGGCGGCGGCGGCGGCGGCGGCGGCGGCGTTAGCTAACTTCTTAAAAGCTTTATATTTTAGAAGATGGAAGACCTGGATGCTTCATACTTTGTATATGGATGCCTCATGTTACGAAGTTTCCGTCAGTCACATGTCCAATGTCCTTGACCTCATTTTCATGGTTCAGTGACTACTTGAAAAAAAAGTTCAGATTTTTTGTAATGTTAAATTCTCTCTTATTATAAGTAATAGGATAACTATATTTGGTATGTGCGTACCTTGCAAGGTCCTCATGCCTGTCAGACAGTTTTCACTTGACCTCGACCTCATTTCATGGATCAGTGAACAAGGTTAAGTTTTCGTGGTCAAGTCCATATCTCAGATACTATAAGCAATAGGTCTAGTATATTCGGTGTATGGAAGGACTGTAAGGTGTACATGTCCAACTGGCAGGTGTCATCTGACCTTGACCTCATTTTCATGGTTCAGTGGTTATAGTTAAGTTTTTGTATTTTGGTCTGTTTTTCTTATACTGTATGCAATAGGTCTACTATATTTGGTGTATGGAATGATTGTAAGGTGTACATGTCTAGCTGGCAGGTGTCATCTGACCTTGACCTCATTTTCATGGTTCAGTGGTCAAAGTTAAGTTTTTGAGTTTTGGTCTTTCTTTCTAATACTGCATGCAATAGGTCAGCTATATTTGGTGTATGGAATGATTGTAAGGTGTACATGTCTAGCTGGCAGGTGTCATCTTACCTTGACCTCATTTTCATGGTTCAGTGGTCAAAGTTAAGTTTTTGAGTTTTGGTCTTTTTTTCTAATACTATATGCAATAGTTCAACTATATTTGGTGTATGGAAATATTTTATGATCTATATGTCAGTCACGCAGGTTTTATTTGACCTTGACCTCATTTTCAAGGTTCATTGCTCAGTGTTAAGTTTTTGTGTTTTCGTCTGTTTTTCTTAAACTATAAGCAATAGGTCAACTATATTTGTTGTATGGAAGAATTGTTAGCTGTACATGCCTGCCTAGCATGGTTCATCTGACCTTGACCTCATTTTCATGGTTCATTGGTCAATGTTTAGTTTACTTGGTTAATGTTAAGTTTATGTGACAGTTGTAATAAAGCTTTATATTTAGGACTATCAACATAATATCAATGATTAGTAAAGAAGGCGAGACATTTCAGCGTGTGCACTCTTGTTGTTTATAAAATGCATTTCACCAACCAACTTGACTTTTTACAGGTATTAATGGAATATCACATATCTATTTTGTCTCATACATGACAAAATATATCATATGATGTTTCAGTCTGAGTAAACTTCTAAAGTTTTACAGGCATATATTTTGGGTTGATATATCATGTGATACAAATTTTACCATGTAGTTTCACTTTTACTTCTATCCTTTTTCTGTAACCACTATTCATCACTACAACACTCAGTTTTTTTAATCAAATTTACAATTTACTGCAAAGTTCCTTAAGAACATATATATGATTAAAGTTTTCTTTAATTCACTTTCTTTACAATAAATGTATTGTAGTTATATTAAATATTTTTCAACCAGTGGATGTCAACTTTATGTATAATAAGTTGCAGATATTTTAGTAAAGTATAGTTTGCCTTTGTTTGGCAGATTTACCCAGCATGCAAAATGTATGTTTTGTCGCACTGTGATGTCATAGTATACATAGCATGCTTTATTAGCTAAGCAGCATATGGTGTCACAATGCCTATCTGTTTTGTTAAGCATCTTTTTCAGGTAATAGAATCAACTATATGATCTGCTAGTATTTTGTAAAATCATTTAATAGATACTTTTAAAATGTTAATTATAGTAGCATTGATAGTTTGATTTAGTTTACTGACCTTAACCAACTTTTATCATTTAATAGGTTCATCATTATTATAAAGAAAAAGCAAAATTCTATTAATTATGCATCTAAATACATCTTGTGAAATTTTTTTAACAGGAAAATGAAAGAGAAAAAGAACCCATTATGCAGAGAATTAGATCTATGTCTCAGGCCAGTAGTCGAACTGAAACACCCGCTCCCAAGATTGTAATTGAAACAGACACTCCAGCCTCACCTGTACCCAGCAGGGAGGGAGCAGTATTTACACCTACTGCTGAGGAGGAACTAGATACAATATTGTCGAGGGAGGAGTCTACAGCCACACCAGAAACTGTTTCAACAACACCCGGTCTCAAATCACGTACTGAGAATGATGAATCTGAATCAGAATCTAAATCTAGATTGGAGAAAATTTCAGAGCGAGCTGACAGTGGTAGTCAGTTGTCACAGTCTATGACAGAAGAAGAAGAGAAACCAGTTAGTAGACCAGGTAGCAAGGTCAAATTCTTAGAAGTTGAAGAAAAACCATTGACTGCACCATCTAAATCCAGTGCCATGGGTTTGGGTTCAGAAATCAGGGCATTTAGTAGAGACGCTATTAAAGAGCGTGACAAAATCAATCGAGAAGCAAGGAACACATTTGCTGCATTTGATGAGAGGTATGCAGATTTAACTGACGACTTGTTACTAGTAGACAATGCATACTTAGGTAAGATGCCCAGTGAAGAAAGAATAACTTCTGTATCCATTATTAGTGAACCAGCACCTACATATGAACTGAAAGCCAGAGAAGGCCAGGCTGATGAAGCTTTCCCAGTAGATGATGATTGATCATAAAGAATATACAGTCCTTTGTAAATGTTTTACACGAAAACCAAGTGTTATTTCAATGGTCAATTAATGTGACAAAGAAGCAAAACCAGTATGTACTTTTTGTATAGTCACACACAGTGTAAATGTTATTAACTTGGAATATATTGTTATCTTATTTGAGTTAACTAAAAAGACAGATCTAAAACTATTGTTTTTAAAATTATTTTCATTTGATTAGATTATTATTGTGATCTTTATGCATTTAAAAAAATATGTTTGTTTGTATCAAGAGTTTACAATTTTATGTAATTTATTGTACTTAAAATCTAGAAACAAATTTTGTCTACACTGGAATGTACATATATTCTTCTGATCCAGGTATTTTATAAGTTAAGTTTTTTCAATGACGGTTTTTTAAAAGGACAAACAAATTAAACCTTATACCTGCATTTATTTAGTATTACCGTTAGTTTAATTTACATAGGAATGTCTGTTGTTCAAGTGGGTTAGTGTTGTATATTCAAATAAGGAAAGTTTTCAGATAAATACGCTGTATGTTTTATGGTTGTAAAACTACTTAGTTGAAAAAATGATTTCCGATTATTTCGTGAGACTTAATGTGTTTTGAAAGGATGACAACTTATCAATTCTGATAAATAAACTGGCCATAAGAGAAAAAATGATGTAGTCTACATAAGAAAAGTTATTTCAACATAAATAAACCATAGCGGTAAAAATGTAAGAGCATACACTTGATGGAGGGGTACATTTTTAAAAACTGTTGTATATGACCTTTATAATTAATTACAACAGTACAAATGTACAGTCTTTCTCTCACTTTTCTGAGATCATTGCTTACAGAACACTTGATGCTATTAACACATGCAGTGTAAAAGTACTCTAAATGTATTTGTACGAACTTGTTTTCATTGTTGAATACAATATGTTGATTGTATATATTTGAATAGATAGTCAGTCAATTTAATAGAAACAATATGCTAAAATCAATTCCCCAAGATATATTACTTTCTGCCAACCATTGAAGCAGCTGGAGATAATATACTTAGGGTAATATTTGAAGACCATCTGATAGTAAATGTCTCTGACTAAGTCTGTCAGCAATACACAACTACTTTCATTTGTTTTTTGTAACATTAATTACCAGATTTACTATATTTTGCTATTAACAAAACAATTGATTCATAATGTTTGGTCTGATGTGTATTTTATTTTTTAATGAAAACTTGACCAATATCTATTTTCTGTGATATTTTGAATCTGTGATATTGTAAATTTCATTTGAGACATTAAATGAAGATTGAATAATTAATTCAGATAGTTTTTACTTCTTTTAATATTTAGTTAATTTTTTATTGTCCATTATATAACTAAAGGTTATTGACATTGAGACCAGAGGCCAGCTAATTTAACGTTAGTCAATGAAATAGACATCTACACTCATACCACATTTTCTTATATCTATCTAGAGGTGTACAGCCCTTTAACAAGCAGCCAAGTTTTATGACTTACTTCAAATCAAAGTCTGGACATGCTGTAAATAAATTCAAAAGACATGACTAAATATCTGAAACATACTTTAAATTATCAATAGAAAAAAAAACATGAAAGGATGGTGACAACCACTGGCAAGTTTCCAGCTTTTTGGTTGAAATCCTATTATGAATTCAGATTTATGTACTAATTTATCTTATTTTTAATATTGGAACATCATTAAAAAAAAGATGGTGATGTCCACTGGCAGTATTAGAAAAGAACAGAGTTGTACGTCTCTGGCCAGAAAAACATATCAATGTTCCACTATACAAACAACTAAAATGCCATAAAGACCAAATGTACTACTCAATTTACATGAAATTCCACTTTTCTTCACACTTGATAATTAACTCATCACAACAAAGTTACAGACTGGATAGAGTTAAATCAAATATTTATAGGCTACTGTATACTATGCTCTTCATGAGGAATATCCCTTGCTCTTGTTTAATAAAGTGTCATCTTTGAAAGTTTGATTATCTTTAGTGAAGAAATGTCAAATTTTACTTATTTTTGAGAATATATATATATATATAAGAAAGTCTAGGCAAAACATCAAAACAAGATGTGAACTAGGTGGAACTGTTATTTTATTGTCTAAATTTTATGTCTCTCACTCATCTATAGAGATCTCTCCAGTAAAGAAAAGGCACAGCAAACATATTCTACTACTGGCAAGGTATTTGCATGGCAAATAATAATTAATCTATATGGTTAATGGGTGGGGCTTTTACATGTTTTCAATATTTTATAGCAGCTTATGTTATGAGGGGCAGGTCATGATCCCCAAACCCTTACAAAATCTATGGTGCACTATAGTCTTGTCATTACAATTCAGAAGGCATATGGTTTAGTGGTCAGGGATCTGAACTGTTTTTGATATTTATAATGTTTTTGACCCGTCCATCTGTCTGTCCGGCAGTTCTTGTCATTGCAACTCCTCTGAAACCACACAACAGAATTTCACGAAACTTTGTAGATAATAAGGACATACTATGTAGATGTGCATATCGACAGGAAATTATGATTCAATTTTTTTTCTAGGAGTTATGCCCCTTTGAACTTATTGGCCTCAATATACTACTGCAACAGTTTGTCATCGCAACTCCTCTGAAACCACACAACAGAATTTCATGAAACTTTGTAGATAATAAGGACATACTATGTAGATATGCATATCGACAGGAAATTAAGATTCAATTTTTTTTCAATTAGTAAAGCCCCTTTGAACTTATTGGCCTCAATATACTACTGCAACAGTTTGTCATCGCAACTCCTCTGAAACAACACAACAGAATTTTATGAAACTTTGTAGTTAATGAGGACATAATATGTAAATGTGCATATCCACAAGAAAATTTTTATCAGTTGAGTTTTGTAGAGTTCTGCCCCTTTGAACTTAGGAATCTGGTGAGATTTTGTTTGTCCAATGACAATGTGGGGGCGTGGGGTATGTGAGCGTGCTCACAAAGGTTCTTTAATTGTAACAATTTAGGATACAAAGGGTCAGGGGAAGACTCCCAAGAACAAAACCAATGGTGCACTGTAAAGGTCTTTTACAATAAAGGAAATTTAAGGTTTATGGGTGGGGATCTGAATAAACCGTTGGGTGCACTGAAAAGGTCTTGCCATGGCAAACAAGAAAATAAATGGTTTTAGGATGGACATCAAAATTTTCCTAAATTACTTATTGGACCTTGATGTCAAGTCAAGATCATAGGTCATGCTCAATGGTACATGATACATTTGTCTCAGGTAATGCAAATGTCAAAAGCCTATGTCAAACAATAAACAAAAATTTGTTCCCGACAAAAAAATGTAAAAGAAATCAATTAATTTGATCCTGAGGTCAAAAGTCAAGGTCACACATTGGTTGTGATGATGCATAACACACGGTAATACACCTACATATATAATATCCTAAGAAAAGATAAAAAAAAGTTTTGGCCTTGAAAAAAAAAGTATGAGAACAAGAAACTGGAGAAGAAGAAATGCTTATAGACAGTATGTCTTGTGTTGAAGGGGAGACATAATAAATTTAGCAAAAGCTACCACAAAGATCCACCAAACAGTTGTTACAAAACTTGACCCTTGAGGACCTAAAATAAAACTTCCTGAATCAGATGGTTCATTGTCCTAATACAAAAAAAGTTATGTGGGAATTTTTTATATAAGGTGTCCGAGATAATTTTTGTGAGTTAAAGGTCAGTAATTTCACATAACTAAGCCTTTCAACTGGAAAAACAAACTCATGATTGAAGCCAGGATCAGTGGAACTAGAACTTTGCCTGAATGGATCAAGACAGTTCAATCATTAAAAGACAACTATGTTAGAAAATTTCATGAGTTCCTGAAGGTTCAAACATTCCAGAGGTTACACATGTGCTAAACACCCTGCATGGTAAATATGTTATGGCTCTAGCTGATAAAACCGGACAAAAATTTAGAAATCATAATGGGTACCTTTCAGTGTGGTTTAGCTCTCAAAGATGATGTTAATCTTTCTTCTTTATATTCAGACAATGATATAAAACCTGAATTACACATTGTATTTTTTTTTTTTTTTACATTTACACAATGCTTAGTTATGCCTTTTACCGGTAGATAAATATATGAACAAAACACAGAATATGTTGGGGTATACATCAATGAGACAGCAACCTAACAGCATAACTAACTCAGAGACCAGAGAGCAAAATATACTCTTTTATAATAGATTGGTGTCTCTACCATATGTCAAGCTCTAAATTGTCTCGTCTATAAAAGTTGTGATAAAATTAAACAAAAACAGTGAAAGATTTGCCATTAACAGAAAGTTCTCCAAATAACAAAAAAAGATATGACATGACAACCACTGACAAGGTTCCAGACTTGGGACAGCCATGAACATCTCATGTAGTTTTAGATCACAATCCTTCTCCTTTTTATCTTGAACAGTGGACTGATTGATTGATTGGTGTTTAACGCCACGTTCAACACTATTGTGCTATTTAGTGGTGGTCAGTTTAAATTGGTGGAGGAAGCCAGAGTGCCCAAAGAGAAAAACCGACAATCCTAGTCAATTAAGATTGGAGTCGAGTGCACCTGCCAAGTGAGGGATTCGAACTCACAACCTCAGTGTTGACAAGCTTGAACAGTGGACTAACAAAGTGTAAATAAAGAGCATACAATAATAAGAATATGCGTCCATAGGACACCTTGCCCAGTACATTTCATGTTCAGTGATCTGTGAAATCTTGGTCAAAATCCTGTATTAATCAGTTATGTTCAAGGTTTCAAGTTGACGTGACCACAAACTACCTGAAACCAAAACTTGAACCTTTTACATGTCCATGTTCAGTGAACCATGAAATCATGGTCTAAACCAGAATTTAGCTTATAATCCATACAAGAAAAGCACTTATCTGTAAACAAGGTATACTGCAAAGATTATATGTTTAGAACGGTTTGGGTTTTGCTCATTGTTGAAGGCTGTACAGTGCTCTATAATTGTTTACATCCTGGTCTTTTGATTTTGTGGATAGTTGTCTCATTGGCAAACATACCACAAATCCTTACATTTATATTTTGCATATTTACCAATATTCTAATTTTATGTTTTCATTCAAAAGCCTTTGTAACAAGACTTGAAAGTCATATAAGTAGTGCTGGAGCAGTCAAAAACAAAAAGATAAACTCTTTTTTAGGTTCTTATAGTATAACATTGAACTCCAGTAAACTCAAACCATTTAATCAACTTTAAATAAGGTGATTCATAAAAACCAAGGACCTGATTGCCATTCGAAATTAATTTGCTCACACAACAAACCTTACACCAAAATATCCAAATGTTTGTAAAATGTAGGTTATGTTGTTCTATTTATTGTTTGTTATATATTTAGATCTATCTTTTTATAACTTTGATTTGGCTATAAACATTTAATTCTCTCAGCAGTTCATAAAACAAGAGGCTCTCAAGAGCCTGAATCGCTCACCTCTATTTCAGAGGAGAAGATTTTTAAATGTTGGCAAACTTGATGAACAAATTGTGTAAAATTGTCTTTAAAGGGCATTAACTCCTTGAGGGGTCAATTGACAAATTTGGTCATTCAACTTTTCTGTAGATCTTACTTTGCTGAACATTATTGCTGTTTACAGTTTATATCTATCTATAATAATATTCAAGATAATAACAAAAAACTGCAAAATTTCCTCAAAACTACCAATTTAGTGGCAGCAACCCAACAATGGGTTGTTCGATTTGTCTGAAAATTTCAGGGCTGATAGATCTTGACCAATTGAACAGTTTTACCCATGTCAGATTTGCTCTAAAAGCTTTAGTTTTGGAGATATAAGCCAAAAACTGCATTTGACCCCTATGTTCTATTTTCAGCCATGGCGGCCATGTTTGTCGATGGATTAAAACTTCGGATACAATTTATAAACTTGATATCCTAAGGAACATTTAGATGAAGTTTGAAGGTATTTGGCCCAGTAGTTTCAGAGAAGAAGATTTTTAAATGTTAGCAAACTTGATGAACAAATTGTGTAAAATTGTCTTTAAAGGGCAATAACTCCTTAAGGGGTCAATTGACAATTTTGGTCATATAAAACTTTTTTGTAGATCTTACTTTGCTGAACATTATTGCTGTTTACAGTTTATATCTATCTATAATAATATTCAAGATAACAAACTAGAGGCTCTAAAGAGCCTGTGTCGCTCACCTTGGTATATGTGCATATTAAACAAAGGACAAAGATGGATTCATGACAAAATTGTGTTTTGGTGATGGTGATGTGTTTGTAGATCTTACTTTACTGAACATTCTTGCTGCTTACAATTATCTGTATCTATAATGAACTTGGCCCAGTAGTTATAGTGGAAAATATTTTGTAAAAAATTTACAAAAATTTACAAAATTTATGAAAAAATTGTAAAAAATTGACTATAAAGGGCAATAACTCCTTAAGGGGTCAATTGACCATTTTGGTCATGTTGACTTATTTGTAGATCTTACTTTGCTGTACATTATTGCTGTTTACAGTTTATCTCTATCTATAATAATATTCAAGATAATAACCAAAAGCTGCAAAATTTTCTTAAAATTACCAATTCAGGGGCAGCAACCCAACAATGTGTTGCCTGATTGGTCTGAAAATTTCAGGGCAGATAGATCTTGACCTGATAATCAGTTTTACCCGATGTCAGATTTACTCTAAATGCTTTGGTTTCAGAGATATAAGCCAAAATCTACATTTTACCCCTATGTTCTATTTTTAGCCATGTCGGCCATCTTGGTTCGCGGGCGGGGTCATCGGACACATTTTTAAAACTATATACCCTAATGATGATTGTGTAAAAGTTTGGTTAAATTTGTTTTAGTAGTTTCAGAGAAGATTTTTGTAAAAGATTACAAAAATTTACGAAAAATGGTTAAAAATTGACTATAAAGGGCAATAACTCCTTAAGGGGTCAACTGACCATTTTGGTCAAGTTGACTTAATTGTAGATCTTACTTTGCTGAACATTATTGCTGTTTACAGTTTATCTCTATCTATAATAATATTCAAGATATAAACCAAAAACGACAAAATTTCATTAAAATTACCAATTCAGGGGCAGCAACCAAACAACGATTTGCCTGATTGGTCTGAAAATTTCAGGGCAGATAGATCTTGACCTGATAAACAATTTGACCCCATATCAGATTTGCTCTAAATGCTTTGGTTTCAGAGATATGAGCCAAAAACTGCATTTTACCCTATGTACTATTTTTTAGCCATGTCGGCCATCTTAGTTCGTGGGCGGGGTCATCGGACACATTTTTTAAACTATATACCCTAATGATGATTGTGGACAAGTTTGGTTAAATTTGTCTTAGTAGTTTCAGAGGAGAAGATTTTTGTAAAAGATAACAAAAATTTACGAAAAATGGTTAAAAATTGATTATAAAGGGCAATAACTCCTTAAGGGGTCAACTGACCATTTTGGTCAAGTTGACTTAATTGTAGATCTTGCTCTGCTGAACATTATTGCTGTTTACAGTTTATCTCTATCTATAATAATATTCAAGATAATAACCAAAAACGGCAAAATTTCCTTAAAATTACCAATTCAGGGGCAGCAACCCAACAACGGGTTGTCAGATTCATCTGAAAATTTCAGGGCAGATAGATCTTGACCTGATAAACAATTTTACCCCATGTCAGATTTGCTCTAAATGCTTTGGTTTCAGAGATATAAGCCAAAATCTACATTTTACCCCTATGTTCTATTTTTAGCCATGGCGGCCATCTTGGTTGGTTGACCAGATCACCGGACACATTTTTTAAACTAGATACCCCAATGATGATTGTGACCAAGTTTGGTTAAATTTGTCCCAGTAGTTTCAGAGGAGAAGATTTTTGTAAAAGTTTACGGACGACGGACGACGGACGCAGGACGACGGACGCAAAGTGATGAGAAAAGCTCACTTGACCTTTCAGGTCAGGTGAGCTAAAAACTGCAAAATTTCCTTAAAACTACCAATTTAGTGGCAGCAACCCAACAATGAGTTGTTCGATTCGTCTGAAAATTTCAGGGCTGATAGATCTTGACCAATTGAACAATTTTACCCCATGTCAGATTTGCTCTAAAAGCTTTAGTTTTTGAGATATAAGCAAAAAACTGCATTTGACCCCATGTTCTATTTTTAGCCATGGCGGCCATGTTTGTCGATGGATCAAAACTTCAGATAAAATTTATAAACTAGATACCCTAAGGAACATTAAGTTAAAGTTTGAAGGTATTTGGTCCAGTAGTTTCAGAGGAGAAGATTTTTTAAATAGTTTACGACGACAGACGACGACGGACGCCAAGTGATGGCATAAGCTCACGTGGGGCCCTTTGGGCCCTGGTGAGCTAAAAATTGATATTAATGCAGTTTGCATTATCACACTAAACAGTTTAATTAGTAAAAAAATTCAGAGAGCTACTACCAAGTTGTCAATGTTTATAGTGCAGTGAAGTAATAAATCATATCACTAACAATCCTTTAATATCCATTGTTTCATGAAAGATATATTCAGGATTTGGAAGCATATAACTATATGTTATGTAAGATAATGGAAGTACAGAATCAATTATCAAATTGCCAAGAAAAATAAGATTTAAAATTCAATACTACCCTTCTGAAAAAGTTCAACTCGATCAAAATCTGAGCTCTGATGAAATGATCCTACAGATATTAGGGTCGTAAGTATAAAATTAAGAAAGGAAACCGGGAATGTGTCAAAGAGACAACAGCCCTACCAAAGAGCAGAAAACAGCCCAAGCCGACCAATGGGTCTTCAACACAGCAAGAAAATCCTGCACCCAGAGGTGGCCTTCAGATGGCCCCTTAACAATAATGAATACTACTGTTCAGCATAAATGGACACAACACTAAACTCCAAAACATATAACTGATTCAAAGTTAAAAAACATACAAGACTAACAAAGTACTCTTTTCCCCTTACTGCACAATAAATAGTGTTCACTTAAGTTTGTATATCTTCACAAACAGTTTGAAGAAAATTCTTAGCAATTGAACAGCTTGTTTTTTGTATCTGCCTCTGAGGTTCAATGAATGTAAGGGAGACAAAGAATTATTTTATGGGTTTTTTTTCCCTGTCAAGGCCACAAACTGAGACTGTCATAACATGAATGTTTGATTTTATTAATGACAGATTGTAATAATAACATATACATAAACAAAAATATTTATCAAGAATTATTATCATTAAAATTACATATATATGAATGGAATGTAAATATTGTGTTCTAGGACAGAAAAATTCTATCAAGGACGGTATGGACAAAAATGGAATGTAAATATTTGGTTCTAGGACGGAACAATTCTATCAAGGACGGCATGGACAAAAATGGAATGTAGAAAAAATATAAATTCATCAGCAGTATGACTATCTCAATGTTGTACAATGATGAGATCAACAGTATTCATTTACTTAACATACATAATATGATTGGAGAGGAATCTTATATTTATGAAGTGCATGTGCTTAGACATACATGAGACATAACCTCTGAAAAGCTGTGACAGCTCACAAAGAATTATAGTTCACTCTTACTTTCAGTTATTTTTAGATCAAGTTAGATGCTACATTTGGAAAATTATCTTTTATTTCTGTGGTATTAGAATAAACTAGATACACATTAAATGACCAAGAAGTCATGTATGTCAACACATGTATTTAAATCAAATGGAAAGTGGTAGTTTGCCCCTTAAGCATGCATCACTATATAAGTACTATACTCCTTGGTAGGACCTACAAAAGCAGCATTACCAACACAAATCAATATTGCATATATTGAGTACAAATCTTGAGTAGTCTAAATACCTGAACTGAGTAAATATATTGCAGATACATTTAAATACATAATAAAACCACAAAGATATTGCAAAATGTAGAAGCAAGGTAAATGAATTAATCCTTTTTCCTGCAGAATTACAGCTTTTAATACCACAAGAATTGTATCTTAGCATATATTAGTAGGTACATACTAACAGTTGTTTATGAATTATAATATAAAACCTTAAATTCTGAACAAAATGATTGGTTATTCCACATCTATGTGTTACTTTACATACAAAGCTTCATTAAGACTACATACATAGCTTCATTAAGACTTTACATACAAAGCTTCATTAAGATTTTACATACAAAGCTTCCAAAAAAAACAATTAAAATAAAGGCTTCATATAGCCGTACATTACAATCATGCTGAGAAATTATTCAGACGGACTTGCATATATTTGTACAATTTTGCATCTTAGCATTCATAAAAATAACCCCTGTAAACTTTTACAATGTATTAAGTGACCTCGAAGGTGAAATGATAGTAGTTTTCTTGCACTTTCAGTTAATATACCTAAAAAGTTTATTTCCAGAATGAATGATAGTATAAATGAAACAATAACTGTTAAATCTGATTCAACACCATTTCTAAAATAACACAATGTTTTACATTTTATGATAATTATAAAATGCTCACTCACTTCTATTAAAATAGAAATTAATGATCATTCAAATATAAGAATGTAATACAAATAATTTGATAACAGTGCAACAGTTTATTAATAATAAATATTTTGAAATAACTAAAACACAACAACTTTGACACAAATTCGCTATTTTAACACATTTACTAAAATCATAATAAATGCAAAGAAGATTGGTCCTAACTGTGTTACAAGTGTATTATATCACTACTTAGTAATATTAATATGTCAAACATTATGTCTACCAATGAAGTTTGAAAAAGAGTCCCATATAAAACTAAAAATTGTAGTTTTTTTAATTTTTCAATTTCATATGAAAAATAGGATATATAAGGTATACATCAATGAGACAGCAACCCAAAAACATGAGGAAACCATATGTTCTTCAACTATAGATAAGTGTCTTTGAAATGTGTCTAGGCCTAAATAACCCCTGTGTTTAACAAATATGTGATTCACAGTGAATAAATTTAACAGACCTAACAAGGATTACTGGACAAGATAGAGTTCTTGCACGATCTTTTTTCTCCTCTAGAAAGACAATACCATGACAAGGAAATAAGGGTAAATTTCTATAATAATTCATAATTTAATTTTAAGAAGTGTTATTCTCCCATTTACTTTTTTTTTGTATTGACTTGTGGCTTACAATGTTAACATTAAAATATCACTCCCACCTGTTCATGTCAGCAAGGGGTTGAGGTAAACAATATTTTCATCACTATTTTCTCCAATCACAAGTTTCATATTGATGGATAAGGAAGTCCACACCAAACTATTTAAGTATTTATATTCTTCGTTTAATTATCTACATCAGAAAAAATTGAAAGACAATCATGCTTTATTTTAACATTTATATTTTTTTTGTTTTTGCATAAATCAATTTGTTTATTCAGTTTGATCCAATAAAAATTCCTTAAACACCTCGATGCTACCCTTTAATACCAGGTAGCTGCACTTCAGAAAATTAATTTTAAAAATATATTTCTGAACAAATAAACCTCAATGTGTTACTATATAATACAACCAAATGTCATAGTTCTTATTACATGTCTTACTAGAATTTAATCACATGCTTCCTAAAGATATAAAATAATTTTTCAATTGTTGTAAAGGTCATACATAGTTTTTCTTTAAATCTGGACTCTGAAAGAGCTTGATGTTTTGGGGGTCAAGGGTTAGAAAGTACTTCCATTAAAACTTGAAGGGAGGTGAAGGACAAAATCAAAACAATATATGCAGGGTGTGGTAAAGTACACAGTGACTTCATGATCCAATCAAAACCCCAACCAAACATTTGGTAAAGTACACAGTGTCTTCATGATCCAATCAAAACCCCAACCATACATTTGATTCTGTATTTGAAATTGCATATTCTATATATATTGCATACAAAAAACAACACTGTATTAATATATCCAGATCCTTTCATTTTGTTTCGTCTTATAAAGTCACTTATAAAAGTTCAACTGTTTTTTTTGGAATAAGTTTGGGACAGATTTGCCATTAAAATGTATAAACTACATCCAAAATAAACAATGGCATGTACTCATACCAGTTATATACTACTCTATACTAGAATTCATTCGATATGGTTTATACTATGTACAAACTTTAACATTTCTTTTTTTTTCTAGAAATTTGAAGATTGGTTTTTTGTAAGAAGAAAATGAAAGACAGGTTATGCCAATTTCTGTTTTTTTCTTAAAGATTTTTGTTTGCATGCTCTACTGAAATGAGTGATAATTAATCAACAGAACCCACTGCTTTTGATTCAAATAAAAAATACCTTAAACTAACAAAAGCATTTTTCAATAGAAGATATCATAAAATTTGGCTTATGACCTTTAACATGAAAAATTCATATAAATAATTTGATAAATTCAAAATATTAAACTTCATGGAAAACAATCTGAAAGGACCATTGTAAGTTATATTCATATATAATGATTCAAATGTTTGATTATAAAATTTTATCCTTGCATCTAAGTTACTCATATCGTGCAAGTGGTAGTCATCCTGAATTGTCAATAATGGAGTTTTTGACTTGCTGGATCCATTCATCTTTGAATTTGAATTAGCTATCTCAATTACTGAAGAAGAAGCTGTATTCAAAGAAGTGAATAAAAGTTCGATGACTCTGTGTTTGGCACTCCACTGCTGTTTGTAATATATATTATATTGCAGTTTTACCCAATGTCAAATGCTAAAATCAGGTCAGAAATCATATTTTTATTCCTTTCAGTCCTTTATATTCCACATGTTCATCTAAGGAGCGCAATATCCGCTGAAATGAAAAGAAAAATGATAATTGCATTTCCCTAAAAATGTTATTTGAAAAGTACAATATGTTCCTGACTTTGTGAATCAATCTATCATATACATATGAACAAACAAGTTGAATGAATGTATATGAATAATAATTGTATTTGAATGTGTCATCATTATGTATCAAGCAAATACAAAACACACTTCAATAACAAAATACTTCCCCCCAAAAAAAATACATGTCCTTTGTAGTGGAATTTTTTTAACACACATTGATCTCATTTGTGCAATTTTAAAATCAAATAAATCTTTAGCTTGAAATTATGACAAAGATAATACTTGGTATTGCAATTAAATGATGATTTTGTTCAGACTTCATGAAATCCCTTGCTTTAGTGTATCAGGATAGATAAATTGTCAATCTTAATTAACTTGAATTGATTTTTCCAATCATCTTGTCTTCCAAGTTTCAACAAAAATTCCACACTAAGTGTATAAGCGATAAGACTTATCTTTTATCCACTGGCATAATTTAAGTGTAATCTAACAAGAGTGCAAGAAGATAAATTTCAGATCATGTTTGTATTGTTGAGTTTTGTTACTGAATAATTTTGTAAAGGTTTTGATAAAATTAACACTAAATGCATATTTTAGTTAATAATTTCTTAGGTTACCCTTTTTTCCATTGACTGTGCCATCTGATAAGCTGTTTTCCCATACTGTAAAGGAAATGAATCATCCATCATATGTAACAAATATCACTCTTAACATTGATAACAATAAAATATAGTTACAATGTAAAGTACACACTGATGTTCTCTTATATTTGTTACTTTCCTCATTTTTACATTATCAGTTAAGTTTGTATTTACATTTTGATGTTATTTTTGTACTTGTATGGTCCGGGTACTTAAATGATGATTAACTTCAAAAAGGTCTCTCATTAAATTAAGAGTTTTTAAAAATGAAATGTTGACTTATTCAACCATATGGTATTGAGTGATTAATGAAATAAAGTGAATTTTACTTAAAAGTAAGAATAATAGTAAAATCTTTTTGATTACTGTTGTCAACGGTGTAGGAAGGACCGAATATTGAATACCAAATATGCTAACCAGTTCACCGGACCTTTTTTCAATTTTAACAGATTTGATATAAATGTGTACTGAAATCATTAATACATGTAATAAATATCGTAAATTTTAAAATGATCGTCAAGGTACTTAATTTGACAGATCAATTGTCAAGTATATTGATAGCTATTGTTAACCTTGAAAACATTCTAATATTACAAAGTTAAATACCACAAAGACAATTCGTCTTTTCGTTTGGGGCAAGATCTAAAGTAAACATAATTAGCAAAAATGTATTTTGAACAGATGTAAGCTGATTAAAGGAGTAGGCCCGGTAAGACCCCTTTTTGGCCCCAAAATATAGCATTTTTACAAATTTGTTGAAATGTAAACTTTTAGGTATTTTTTGGTAAGTAGAATGCTTCTGTTCCATAAATATGGGCTGTTTTTGACAATACAATGCACATGCATCAGGTAATAGCATCATAAATTCATGCCAATAGTACTGAAATCTTCACAATTTTACCATTTGTGCTAATTTTAAGACAGGTTTTGTCTGAAATGGAAGTGGCTGCATTTGTATTCAGTCTTAATATTTAAATATATGTTGTATTTGATGATAATACATAACATATATAAAGGTTGAGACTGAACACGAATGCGGCCACTTACATTTTAGACAAAAACCATCTTTAAAGTGACGTTTTATTGCATATCTGATAGATTTTTTCATATCTAAGCTTGAATTTGAGCGTCTTTAAAGACCAAATCAGTTCAAATCTTTGACATAAAATAACTGAATCGACTGAAGTAGACACTTAAGTGTTTAAAAAATGTCAAAAATCTTTCGTTAGATGTACTTCGAATATAAGGCCAAAACTAGCCCTTACCTGACCTTCTCCTTTACGATTTACTTCATTATCTTATTTTTTTATTAAATATTGCGTAGACCTACATGCAAATATGCCACATCTATTGCCCAAAGCTTTGTGATACATTAAACGAAATGCTCACTCAAAAATGGTGAAATTCAAATCATGTAAATGGAATTAATGAATACTCAGTGGTACGAGTGACACACTTAATTTTTTCAAATTTAAACACTCTACAAAATTGTCTGAGACACTACAGAAAAAGAAACAATCATCGGCTTCAGACTTTGTCAATTTCGACGAGATCAAGAAGAGTTTCATCTTCTCAATCTGAAGTTATTACAAACGTCATAGTAGATATGGCAGAATTGGATTATTAAAAGTAAAACTTCACCACAAATGCTCAAAGCTAAGCATTATAATACCCAAATAAACTTCAATTTATCATATCATAAAACCATGCATTTGTGAAGTACTATAGATAAGGTCTTTACAACCAAAACCTAACTATACCTGTTAACTGGTTAATCAGTCAAATGATTATACTAAGTAACCGGTTAGACAAAACTGTTCAATTTGAAAACACTACTTTTTACATGGTAAATACTGAGTTGTCCTCACGAAAGAAAAAAAGGTCCATGTCCCAAACGCCTGTTGTTTCACTTATGTATGAAAAAAGTCGACAGAATAAAGGCGCTTTAAATAGACAGCTCTAGATTAGGCAAGATAACAGATACACGAAGATTCAGACAATATGTATCAGATGAAGGAATTCAGTCAGTAACTTGTGCCGTTTGGGGTTCAAAGAATATGCTGTGTGTTCCTACGAAGAAAGTTATAATTTATTAAAAAAATACTTAAATGGTCTAAATACTCATATGGTCCAGCCGTTAATAACCAAACGATTATAATATTCATATGGTCAGACCATACGAGTATACACATATAGTCATAACCATTCGTGTATGGTTGAAATACTCATATGGTCCGGAACATCTACATTGCATGAATAACCTTAATTATACAGCCATATTAAAACTACCTATTCTTACCTCATTTTTGACAGTTAAGTCTGCATTTCTTTTTAACAGTAACTCCACAAGTTCAAGATGGCCGTTAATTATAGCTATCATCAATGCAGTTTTGCCATCTCTATCTTGTTTATTTATGTCGGCACCTTTACTGAGTAGTGAATAGGCTACATCTCTCTTACCACTTACTGATGCTAGGAAACAAGTATAGGTATTTATGAATAGGTAATGACCTTATATTACAGGTAAATAAATGACTAGCAAACAGACCTAAAACTAAAGCATCAAGCTTGAGAGGCCCTTAAAGTTTTATATACAGAAAACCATCTGGGAAACAGAATATTTTGTATTCATTAGATCCCAACTATATTTCAAATCTTTTGTCTTCAATTGGATTTATTGTTTAAATGTTTATGTTTTCCAAGTGTGTAATGAAGGTCTTATCAAACATTTAGATTTATATATTTTATAACATTTTTCTATGATAATTTCTGTGATCTTTTAGTTTTGACTACTAACCACATCTTAACAATGGTGTCCATCCACAATTATGATCTGGTATATTAACTTCAGCCCCATCCTGTATCATCCATTCTATTAAATATGTATTCCCTCCATCTACTGCCCAATGCAATGAAGTAGATCCACCTCGGTCAAAATCATCATATCTAGCCCCTGCTTCTCGTAAAATCTTGACAACTTTTAACTGACCAGAATAACTAGCTAACATAAGACTGAAAATAAAAATTGATAAATTAATCAACAATTAATGAAAGGAGTTATCTCCCTTTTCACAGTTGTGTTTCAAACTACTTTATCTTAATTTGGGGCTTTTTATTATCTAAATGTATATATTTATTTATTCTTCTTTATATTAATCAACAGTATTCCGGTTTGCAATACTGAGAAAAAGTTGACTAAACTGTATATTCTTTATGCTTGAAAATATTATAAGTGGCCTGTGCAATCATCATTTACAGGAAATTATTTTTTATCAAAGCTAGACATCTTGTCAGTGAAATATAGACAGCAAGAAATACTGTTATCTCAGTTTTAATAATAGAACTTATTGCTTTTTGGGAATCTGAGACACTTGACCTGAGATTTTGACGTCATACAACAATCACTTCTTTGTGATGTCAGACATTCTCTCCTGTGATGTCAAAATTTTAAGGGGAATCTCTATTATGTCTAGTCATGGCAGACAATTAGCGATAATGAGTATTTATATATATATATCATCAAAGAAATGATCATTGATTTCATTATTTACTTCGAATTCATCATTGAATACATTATTTACTTACGCTGTTTTCCCTGCATCATTTTTTGAATGGACATCAGCACCATTATTTAACAAACATTCCACAACTCTGAAAAACAGAATTAGGTAATTGTTCCTTATCCTGGTGCAGCATATGTACATATAAATAGGCTGAAATATATTGTATGGTGTCAATGATTTACTACTTGATCTACGATTAATTCTTTAATGGATTTATTGATCGATTGATTGATCGATTGATTGTTGGTGTTTTATGCCACTTTCAGCACTCTTGGCTATATTGTGTTGGCCAGTTTTAATTGATAAAGGAAGCTGGAGTACCAGGAGAGAATCACCAACCTTTGGTAGGAAAACTAGCAATTCTAGTTAAGGTATTTTGAACGCACCTGCCACTTGCGGGTTCAAACTCGCAACCTCAGTTTTGACAAGCTAGTGATAACTGTAGATGAACTACTAAGAACACTTGGCCAATGAAGTCCCTTAAATGGGTTTACTGTAAGATCCTCTTCAATCTATCTGCAGCTATTTTGAGCTTCACAATTACAGTAAATTACATCAAACATTTGAAAAAGTATATTTTTTTGTAGAAAAGATGAAATGCAATGAAAAAATTAATGCATAAATGTGTTAAACAAATATTACAAAAAAAAAACAGAAATTTGAAAATATTTAGCGATATGGAGGGTTGCCTGGTAATTATATTTTACTGAATTACCTACAGAAAAGCTAGAGGGGTTACAAATGTTATACAAAGTCATAAGCAGATTCATGTTGTATTTTTCTGTCCTCTCCTACTTACTCAATAAAACCTTTCTGTGAGGCCTGCATCAAACCAGTAAAGCCATATTTATCTGGAACATCTATTTTTACATCTCTGAAAAAGAGAACAAAAATCAATCTTTTAAAATAAATAAGATATAAAAACCAAAGCCCAATATAGGGTGGTTGGCTGGAATTACCTAATCAGGTAAACATAAACTTGTAAATTCATTTTTTAATATGGCAGGTATTATTGTCAATCTTCAATAACAGATAATAATGCAAGATAAATAAATGTTCCTTTCTTATCAAGATAGAATCAGGCTGGCTTCCAGGAGGAAAAAATCCTTAAATTGATACAATTAAAGTTTATCAGCTACATTATTTCTACCTTTTGGTTGAAATTCAGTCATAGGATTTATTAGCCTACGGTAAAAGGTGAACATGTCTGATGATATTATATAAGAATATCTACAGATATAGTGAATTCATTATTATTTCTAGGATACCAATCTTGATATCAATAAACCATGAATCTATGTATGCAGACTTTGGCATATCCATGCAATAAAATATCCACAAAGGACAAAAATTGGTAAGCAGGAAGATAAATGAATCCACAGTATCATAATAAATCTTAGTACAAATCTTAGAAACAGAATGAATCACTGCATCATATGGTATATAATATTTTTTATTTTCTTATGTGTATAATACCGAAACTTTCAAATATAAAATATCTGAAATGGAAAATGTTTAAACCCATAGATGAAAACTTAAAAATGTTTGCAGATGTTCACATGCTGAAAATTTATGATTTTCTTGGGTAGGCCACAACTTCAGAAAAAATTGCTCAACCAGAACAAAATTCAAACAGTATAAATATCTTCCTATGACATGACTTTACACAAGTTATACATTCCTAATTGATAAATTCAGGCATTCCAAGAAAAAAAATGTGGTAAACTGATATCTTCAAGCAAATTTCTATATCTAATGGGCCACAACTTCCTCAAATATTGCTCAACTCAATAACTAATAAAATAAACTGCTTCGCTGAGCGCAGCTGGATACGCCCGCAGAGGTCCAACCCTGAACAGTTGGGGCAAAAATGGACACAATATTCAAGCTTGATATGGGTCTGAATTTGGATTGTAATTAAATATTTGACATATTATAGGTTTCTGAATAAATGTAGTCAAAGAACTTGAATTTGGTTATATGAATTGAATTTATATTCAATTAAAGATTTCTTGCTGTTGTGCAATACACTGTGCTGTTGCGCAGTACTTAGTAAATCTGTTGTCAGACTATAAACAAATAAAGTTCAATGAATTCTCAATGTCATATTAGAAATTTATGAAAATGTAAAGGGAGCTTACATCAATAGATAACAATTCACCAAAGTTTCATGAGAATTGCTGACAGCATTTTTGAGTTATTGTCCAAAAAATGGAAAATCCCCCCTTTTTTAATGAATAAAACCCCATAACTCAGAAATGCTAAATGAAAAATTTATAAAATTCTAAACGGAGCTTACATCAATAGATATAAACAATTCACCAAAGTTTCATAAGAACTGCTGAAAGCATTTTTGATTTTTTGTCCGAAAACTGGAAAATCACCCTTTTTTTATGAATAAAACCCTGTAACTCGGAAACGTAAAATCTAAAATATACAAAAATCGAAAGGGAGCTCATGTCAATAGATATAAACAATTCATCACAATTTCTTGCAAGTTGGTGAAAGCATTCTTGAGTTATTGTCCGAAAACTGGAAAATCCCTCTTTTTTTAATGAATAAAACCCCATAACTCGGAAACGTAAAATCTAAAATTTATTAAAAACGACGGGGAGCTCACATCAATAGATATAAACAATTCACCAAGGTTTAATGCAAATTGGTTAAAGCGTTTTTAAGTTAATGTCCGACATGATGATGACGGACGGACAGACGGACAAGGGTATACCATAATACGTCCCGTAAACGGGCGTATAAAAAATGAAGCATTACAGGAAGAAAAAGTCAGAACACTTTAGAGATATACAGACTGACAGACTGACTGACGACGGCCAAAACTTGAATCCCCTTCGTCTTTGCTAGTAAGGAACTTATACAAACATGTAAAATGGAATAAACTGAAGACTGATCTCATCCTTTTCAGCCTCCTCAATCAATTTCTCCTAAATATACATTGATGGATGCCCTCAGGTGAACATAGGACATTAAATCAGGTGACCCCAGTCTGACACTTCAGAAGTAAATAACAAAGCTATACTGTCATTGACCTGTTGTCTGACTTTCAAATCTTGGATCTCCCACACAGAAAATAGAAAGTTTATACAAATTATTGACCTGCCATCTTCTTTTAATGACTAAAAAAGTGTAAAATCAATGAAGAACATTGTCAAAACACATCCATAAATTGATATCTGACTTCTCCTTAATACAGGTCGGTGACATAAAGAGATGAGACATAAACAGTTGATGTTAATAAATTGTAAATAAAACTTGATCACAGAGTCAAAAGTTTAATAAATGGTTAGTCTTAAATAACTAAAAATAATAATTTCTGCTGCAGGCTTGAGAGTTTTTTTCTAATAATAAAACATCTTGTAAAATGACATGATAAAATATTCAATATTGCATACTTTCACACTGTGAACAATTTGAATTAAGTTACATTTAAGTAACATTTAAATATATTGATACATTTGAGTATGAGCATGTTATTAACACCCACAAATATTTACCATGTTAGGCAATTCAAAATGTTAACTGAAAACTGATGTAGCATCCATTTATATATTGTAATTCTATATAAACATTAAGCCAACTAGCCAGATTATATATAAAACATTTATAATGTCTAACCTACTAGAAATTCAAAGCTTATATACCATCTCAGAAATTAACTTTGAAGTTTGCAGTTAATAATATGAATCTAATTAACCTTTTGGTGCTTTAAAACAGGACATGTGCCTATATCAAAATTATGTTCGTTATAAAAAGTTCTTTCTTCTTCTATGTCAAAACATACCATTAAGTTAAGAGATTTACATACAAACAAATACAAGTATTTCTTGCATATAACAAAACTTTAATAACACTATGTATTACTTTTGTTAAGAAGCTCAACCAATGTAAAAAACAATAAAATGCTTCGCTGGGGCGCAGCTTGATACGACCGCAGAGGTCGAACCCTGAACAGTTTGGGCAAGTATGGACACAACATTCAAGCTTGATACAGCTCTGAATTTGGATTGTTATTAAATATTTGACACAGCATAGGTTTCTGACACAGAAAGAATGTGGTCTAAGAACTTGAATTTTTTTAATTTACCTATTATGGTCCAATGTCCAAAATCAAAATACATGGTTAGATTCAGCATATCAAAGAACCCCATATATTCAATTTTTGTTAAAATCAAACTAATTTTGGACCCCAACTTGGACAAACTTGAAAACTGGGCCCATAATCAAAAATCTAAACACATGTTTAGATTCAGCATATCAAAGAACCCCAAGAATTCAATTTTTGCTAAAATCAAACTAAGTTTAATTTTGGACCCTTTGGACCTTAATGTAGACCAATTTAAAAAACGGGACTTAAAATTAAAAATCTAAATACATGGTTAGATTTGGAATATCAAAGAACCCCAATAATTCAATTTTTGATGAAATCAAACAAAGTTTCATTTTGGACCCTTTTGACCTCAATATGAACCAATTTGATAGCGGGGCCCACAAATAAAAAATCTAAATTCATGGTTAGATTCAGCATATCAAAGAACCCCATATATTCAATTATTGTTGAAATCAAAAAAAGTTTAATTTTGGACCCCAACTTGGACCAACTTGAAAACTGGGCCCATAATCAAAAATCTAAACACATGTTTAGATTCAGCATATCAAAGAACCCCAAGAATTCAATTTTTGTTAAAATCAAACTAAGTTTAATTTTGGACCCTTTGGACCTCAATGAAGACCAATTTAAAAAACAGGACCCAAATTAAAAATCTAAAAACACGGTTAGATTTGGCATATCAAAGAACCCCAAGAATTCACTTTTTGATGAAATCAAACAAAGTTTAATTTTGGACCCTTTTGACCTCAATATGAACCAATTTGATAGCGGGACCTACAAATAAAAAATCTAAATACATGGTTAGATTCAGCATATCAAAGAACCTCATATATTCAATTTTTGTTGAAATCAAACAAAGTTTAATTTTGGGCCCCAATTTGGACCAACTTGAAAACTGGGCCCATAATCAAAATTCTAAAAACATGTTTAGATTCAGCATATCAAAGAACCCCATATATTCAATTTTTGTTGAAATCAAACAAAGTTTAAATACTGGACCCTATCTTGGACCAACTTGAAAACTGGGCCCATAATCAAAAATCTAAACACATGTTTAGATTCAGCATATCAAAGTACCCCAAGAATTCAATTTTTGTTAAAATCAAACTAAGTTTAATTTTGGACCCTTTGGACCTTAATGTAGACAAATTTAAAAAACAGGATCCAAAATTAAAAATCTAAATACACGGTTAGATTTGGAATATCAAAGAACCCCAATAATTCAATTTTAGATGAAATCAAACAAAGTTTAATTTTGGACCCTTTTGACCTCAATATGAACCAATTTGATAGCGGGGTCCACAAATAAAAAATCTAAATACATGGTTAGATTCAGCATATCAAAGAACCCCATATATTCAATTTTTGTTGAAATCAAACAAAGTTTAATTTTGGACCCCAATTTGGACCAACTTGAAAACTAGGCCAAAAATCAAAAATCTAAATACATGTTTAGATTCAGCATATCAAAGAACCTCATATATTCAATTTTTGTTAAAATCAAACAAAGTTTAATTTTGGACCCTTTGGACCTTAATGTAGACCAATTTGAAAACTGGACCCAAAATTAAAAATCTAAAAACACTGTTAGATTCGGCATAACAAATAAATAAATGTGATCAAAGATTTTACAAATCTAATGCGCCATACTGTGCAATTAAAGATTACTTCTTGAAATTTTTCAATATTTGAAATTTGAAAAAAAAATAATATTTGAAGAATAATTCTTTTTAATTTCTGAAATCTGAAATGAGAAAAAATTGACCCCCCACAATTTCTTTTTATCCCCCCCCTTTTTTCCCCAAAAAAATTCTTTCCCTCAAGATATGGTCATAATCTCAATTCAAATTTCCAATGGAGTTGGCAACCATAATTACCCATTTAAATTTACCATAGTGCTAACTTAATCTATTTTGTAATAGAATTAAAAATATAGTGTCAAATCTTTCATATGGATTTTTTTGTAAAAAAAAATAATGCAACATTTGCAGATATTTTTACTGGTCTTCCTTTATAAATATGCATTTCTTTAAACATAATTTAAAAGCAGTGTAAGGGAAGTAACCAAAACGTTGTATTTGGATTACCTCCCTTACACTGTTTTAAATTATCTTTATTGTTCATTAACCATTACTTTATACATAATTTAAAAGCAGTGTAAGGGAGATAATTTCAATGATGTATTTGATTTATCTCCCTTACACTGCTTTAAATTATGTTTTGTACTAAAGTATTTGACCATTAACCAGGACAACCTTGTTTTTCCCCCTTTTTTGCCCCTAATTCCTAAACGGTTTGAGCCATAACCCCCCAATGCAAATCCTAACCATCCCTTTGTGGTATGGAAACTTGTAGTATAATTTCAGAGAGATACATACACCGTTCCACAGTTATTGTCTGGAAACTAGAAAATGCTTATTTTTGGCCCCTTTTTGGCCCCTAATTCCTTAACTGTTGGTACCATAACCCCCAAAATCAATCCCAACCTTCCTTTTGTGGTATTTAACCTTATGGTCAAATTTCAAAAAGATCCATTTACTTAAACTAAAGTTAGAGTGCGAAAACCAATGTGTATTCGGACGACGACGACGACGACGACGACGCCAACGTCATACCAATATACGACCACAAAATTTTTTTGCGGTCGTATAAAAACTGGTGAAACATTAACTTCAACCAATGTATCACTTACCTCCCTTGGTAAAATCTAATTTTAAAGGTTCAAATTTCAAAATTATAACTGTTGTTTTATATTTTCAATTATTTTCAATAAGAAATTGTTTGTTTTGGGGAGATTTTTTCTTCATTGTTTTAAAATGATTTTGATACTTCACTGTTTGTTCAATCTGCAAAATGACAAACACAACTCATTTCATATGTTTTTTCCCCAATACATATCAGCCAATTAATAATTGACATGAAACTATTTACTCTTATTATGCTAAAAATAAAATCTGAAATGTAGGCCAAACTTGATTTCTGCAAAATCATTAAATAAGTAAGTTTTTGTTTAAAAGATTATGAAACTTTGACCCATATTACCATGTATAACAAACTTCATATAAGCTGTTGATGACAGAAAGTGCAACCTACAACTGGCTTTCTAGCAAAACAGACGTAATGCCACTCAAACCAATGAAGATGCTTGCATGCCCAGAAATCTGGAGTAAATGTAGTTCAAAGAAGGATTCATGACATTCCTTTATTTATATCTCAATTTTGATGCTTTTAAATCTTAATATTATTGTTTTGCATATTCACACTTGCATTGTGCAAATTGTTTGTAAGACGACATAATTTTTAATATCATGTGAAAGTAATGTGTTGATCTTTTTAGAGTCCACTGGTGCTAAAATGATTTCTGTAGTAAGTAATCCACAAGCAGGAAAGTGTATTTAAGTTGATGTAAGATGAGAATTGCAAGTTATATGTGACAAAGATAGACTTTACTAAATATTTACTTTCTCCCAGATCTGTAAATCAAAAATTGCAAAAACCAATGAAAACCAAATGCCTATTCCACAATGTATATCAATACTTTGATAATATCTTGGAATACTGTAAAAATTCAACCAAATTGTAACAAATTATATAAGGAGTATCCTGTTGCTGGTACTTTATAGTGTAAGATATTTTAATAATACTTTTTTTCATATCTGGATTTAATATTCAAAACATACTCCATGTAAAAAGAATTGTAACAGTTCATTTTGCATTTATATTCAAATCAGTTTATTCTCTGTAAGGGTAATTATGATTATTGAAGGGTAGGATCATTGGAACAATTTGAACAGAAAGACCATTCAGATCATGGAGCAAGTCTCCTCAAAATTCCTAAAAAATTGAATATTGCACATTCAGAACATGTATATCTATTCCAAATATTCATATAATATTGTCTCCAGAATTTTCCATCATAGTTGGAGAACAGATAATATGTGAATACAAATAATACATAGAAAATTATTGAAGAAACAAATTCTGTAGTATTTTTTTAATGTCCTATATGTATGAAAGCCCAAAGAAAATCTTACCCTGTGTCTAAAATCTTTTCTATTTCCTCAACATCTTTTCTCATAATAGCTCTATGTAAATGTTCACCTGTCAGAGGCTCCTCTGGAAAATAAAAGGTAAGAGTCAGAAGACAAAATACCCATGCATGAGATAAATTGTAAGGGGAGGAATAAGTAAACTCTCAAACCTCATCACATCCAAAATATGCCTACCCATAACCCAATATCAGTGTTGTGTAGTACTATGGTTGTCCTTGTGAGATGTTTTATTTTTCTGTAAAATTGATTTACTTATTTTAGAGGTACATGTGTACTTGCTTTATGGTGTGGTGTCCTACTTACAGTTGAGGGCTGCATATAATGTAGTCACTGCATACTAACCTTACAGTGTTAAATTTCTTGTCACATGGTTTTAGCTGGGTTGCACTGTCAGTGATAATTTAAGGTACACTGTGCTTTTTCTAATTTTTTTTTAATAATAAATAGATATGGCTAAATCATCTTTCTGAATTGTAATAGTACTGTGTATGGGAAATTTTAAATAAGAGAAGGTGAAATCCACATTCAAAAATGATTTATAAGACCTTAGATGATAAAACATTCACATGTTTTCTTACACATAAGCTATAATTTAAATCTAATTTGGTATGTTTAAAAAAACATTAGGAAAACAGGTGCCAGTCACAAGAAGGCAAATAAAGACAATACATGAAAACATTTGAACTAATATTAGCTCATGGAACAAATGGTGTTAAAACAAGTCAAGGAATTGATTATAAGAGTTAACTAATCAGATTTACACTATCTGGTACTAATTCAACAAATAACATTGTCAGATTACCTAACATTACTCAATATTTTTTTTAATGCATAATTGATAAAATTATGACAATTTGTACAGGAACCTATATAAGAAAAGGTGAAATCCACATTCAAAAATAATCAATAGAACCTTAGATGATAAACCATTCATTTTCCTACATATAAGACCATAAGCTATAATAATTCACTTTAAATTCAATTTGGTATGTTTAAAGAAACATTAGGAAAAAAGATGCCATTCATATTATAAGACAAATAAAGACACTTCATGGAAACATTTGATCTAATATTAGCTCATTGAACAAATGCTGTCCAAACAAGTCAAGGAATAAACTCATTAGAATTAACTAATTAGATTAACAGTACCTGGTACTAATTCAACAAATAACATTGTATAACTACCTAACATTGCTCAATTTTTTAAAGATCATTCTTTTTACAAAAGATTTGGTACCAAATAAAATCATGAATTACAAAATCTTATCAACTTTGTATCCACTTTAATTAAAGCCCTGAAAGACTTATTGAAATTTAATTTATCATAAGTGCTTAACATGCTTAAGTCCTTTGATATTATGACAAAAGATTTAAAAATTTAATTTCAGTATATTGTAAGACCCAGGATAATAACTGGCCATGAAAGTATGTTGTGTAAACTTAAGGTGATTTTAGTAATTTTTCCTAATGTAAGTCTATAAACAGTAGGTACTTCCTCAATGCATTAGTAATTAAGCTTGTAGGAGCCATGCACAACTTCTTTAAAATTTCATAGATTGTATTTTGGATTATCTATTCTCTTTTAAGATGTTCATAATTTTCAACATCCTCTTTGATTGTTGATGCATTCTAATATTACCTATCTCTCCTTTAATCAGCTATTACTTTATTTTGAGGACCAACGCAAGAAAATTTCATTTTCTTTAACAACAGAACTGAGTAATGCCGGAAAAGTTCATTTTTCTACACAATAAACATATATCTACATAATATGTCAAGTTTTAATAACGCCAAAGTCTAGAGAAGTGCATGGTTTTCTGACTTTCTACCATGATCATTAGATGCTCAGGTGATCCTGGTCACAATATTTCAAAATTGGAAAATATCCTATGTTAACCTCTACATATCCTTCAGACCTTTTTGTTTTGTTGTTTTGCTGTCTCATTTGTGTATTTTCAATCTCCTTTTTTCATACTTTAGCAACTTTAGAATCACATAGATATATGATGTATATGATATTGTAGAAAACCATATGTCTTTGGTTATTTTGTGTCACTGGGTTGCTGCATCATTGACATTTACTACATATCTCCTTTTATATATAATAATTGCAAAGACTTTAGTTTTTAATGAAAACACATAATTTTTTCTCTAATATTAATTATTAGCATGATCAGTATATATTATACTTGTGACCTATCTAAATACATGTTTTAATTGTTACAATCATGTCATACTTTTTGTACTTTATTGACAGTAAAACTCATACTGATTGAGATTGATGAAAATGTTAGTGTGATCCAAAGCATATTTCATATGGTGTTATATCATGGTCAGAAACATGTGTAGTATATGTCTCTGATCATGGGCCAGCAAACAGACGAAAAGTGCCCCATGCTTTCACAAAATCAGATTTTTCATTCATACAAATTCATACTAAAGTAACCAAGATATATAAGTGAATTTAATTACTTTCTTCTTCATTATATCCCAGTATTTATGGTAATCCTTGATATCAAAATTGACATATAAAGGATCATTATAATATATCTCACCAAGAACTCAACCTGATGTCCTATATTAAGGACAACTTTATATGGCACTTCACATTCTATAAACAGGTATAACCTATCACTTGTTTACTTGTCAACAAAGAGAGAAGGACCTATCACTGAGATATAAATGGTCTTTTAGAACCAAATTAATTGTCAATTCTACCCAAGACAATAACCATTAAAACCTGCTTTGATATACTAAATATCCTTGCTTATTACTGTATCTGTGTACTATTTGTATTAAATGAATGTTAGAAACTTCCAATGTAAACAAACACATTGAAATCTAATTTAAATGGTCATATAATTTTCATTTTAAGAGTGTTGTTAAGGTTAAAGGGATCATTAAGTTCTCATATACCTCACGTTTCATTGGCATGGTGCAAATGAAAACAGATATGAAAATACCTTGAATAAAAGTAGGAAAATTAGTATCAGAAAATTTTTGTAGATTTATCTTCAAGTTGATTTTCTTTTTGCATACCTAGTGTCATTATCTGGCTTTTAAGCAGGTAAACAACAGGTAAAGTCACATTCCAAACCTGATTAATTTCTGTCTGATAATAACATTATTATAACACCCGCTTGTGAAGAATACCATAATCATCATATCAAATTACATGAAAATCAATGAAGAAAACAGATTGAATAGAAGCTGATTATTTCCTTGGAACATAAATGGCCATTCACATAAAATTCTATCAATTTTGTATGGTTCTTTTTACAATTAGTTGATAGATGCATTTGCATTGTAGCTGTAATTAACTGACTTTTTCTTGAGCATTTGTTTTGATTTTTATCAGTATGATTTTCTGACAGTCACACAGCCATCTCATTTAAAATCATAACAAACAGTTTGACCATAAAAATAATTTGATTTTACAATTAACTCATTATCGAAGGTCGTTCTACATAAAACCTTCAGATATTTCAGTACAATTTACAAACTTATTTGCCATTATCATTATAAGTACCTTATCTTCAAGAAAAATGTAGCTCCCAGAATATAACAAGACAACAGTGCTATGCTACATTTTAATTTTACTCCCTAAAATTTGTACTTTGACCAAAGGACATCTTTGACAATGACTGAAAACTGTTAGAGCAATTGCTTTCAAATCAACAAAGTTAAAATTGATGTAAAACATATACATGTAAAGGTTTAAGGACACCCTCATGATTTGGTTGAGTCACAAATGACCATGGATATGAACCACTTGTCATAGCCACAAACATGTCCTTCTCTCCTTCATTGTTACCTCACTGAAACAGACTTATTACCAAACATTTACATGCAATGAGAAATACACAGATGTCACTAGTGAAGCAGGAGCAGCGTACCCTTCCTTAGTACCTGCGATTACCACTAGTTTTTGGTGGGATTCATTTATTTGTGGTATTTTTGTAGATTTTCTTTTTACTTATAGTTTTGGATTGCCTTCCTTGTATTTTCTCTCCACTTTTTTTTTGTAATTTCCTCCAATGAAATAGAAAGTTGAAATCTATAATCTTCAATGTGAATCTGATTTCAAATACATTAGTGGTGTACAACATCAGTGATTCTTGAATACTTTATCTAGGTTTGCACAAATGTTTGACAAAACACAAGATTGCCAAATGTGAATTTTTGACATTAAAATTATTAATTAACAATGTTAAATCTTACTTGTTGTTGATACATTGACATGAGCACTCCATTCACTGTTGCCATAGTTATTCATAAATCGTATTCTGTAATGGTATTCTGTCTGATGGTCCAGTCCCGTAACTGTATGTCGCTTACCATAACCTCTGTAAATATAAAATAATATAGTCTAGATTTATTTACATTGATTCAAATATGTAATAATAATATCCTTATCAGAACCTCTGTAAATGTTAATATGGTTCCAAAAATAAATGTAATAATATGAAAAGTACATGTATGTAATTGTAATCTTTCTGATAGTCCAGGTCAGCTTTTCATAGCCCTGTAAATTGCTAACTAATATTTCAATATAGTACTAATTTTTACCATAAATATGATCTATAACAAGAATGTGTCCATACTACACGGATGCCCCACTCGCACTATCATTTTCTAGGTTCAATGGACCGTGAAATTGGGGTCAAAACTCTAATTTGGCATTAAAATTAGAAAGATCATATCATAGGGAACATGTGTACTAAGTTTCAAGTTGATTGGACTTCAACTTCATCAAAAACTACCTTGACCAAAAACTTTAACCTGAAGCGGGACAGACAGACAAACGGAGGAACAAACAAACGGACACACAGACCGAAAAACATAATGCCCCTCTACTATCGTAGGTGGGGCATAAAAAAAATCCTATAATTGATTTAGACTCATACATATCTTATGTATGCAATAGCTCATCTAAGTTAAAAACCATGTTTACAGTTAGATAACGACCATTTCACTTTGAGGGGGGGTTTATGGTTTTTTTCTAAAAAAAATTCTAATTCCCAACTTTGAAGAAAATAAAAGAAGAGTAAGGCAAGGGAACATAAATGCCACCATTTGTAAATATATATAGGACAAATTCAGCAATTTTTCCATTTATAAAGGGACATAACTCAAGAACGGTGAAAGTGAGCAACCCAAATTTGAGCTTAATCTGTGTTTGATGGTCATAAGCATTGTGTTTCAAGTTTCATAACATTTGGTTGAGGCTAATTAAAATTATAGAACAGAAAATAATAATGGGACGTACAGACAAGGATAAAACTGGATGCCCTGTCGCCTAGCAGCTGGGGCAAACAAATATTTTGATCAGGGAGTAAGAAAAAAAATGTCTGATTGAAAGTTTTTGCAATCAAAATTACAAAAACTTACATGTAATCACCATGATCACATGAAAATGACCGAGCTTTTGGTAGCTCTAAAATTAAAATTTAGAAATTGACAGTTAGGAAATTGTTCAGATGTGATACTTAATTCACTGCATGTATGTACTATATAACCATACAAAGTAACACTGATCTCCTGATATTACATAATAGATTTAATACTTAATGCACATTGAAAAAAAAACAAAACACCTCTCATCTTCCATTAAATTTGCATTTATCCTTGGTTTCAGTCAAGCTGCATTATTATGTGAATTGAATTTTCTAAGTATGAAATTGATCAATAGACCTTCATTAACTCTGCACCTAAAACATCACATGCTAATGATGTTTCCAAGTATGAAGACAATGAAAAGGAAATTTCACAAAATAACAAGATCTCTGTGTGGGGTATAGGATCCTTATGATTTCTAATAAAAGACTGGTCTATCAAATAAAGGCTCAGATATTGTACATTGAATATATCAAATCAATAACTTACAGTGTGGATCTGCAGAACATTACAATATATACTTACAATGGAATCGGTCGCGTCAGAATGATTTCAGAAAATATAAAGTTAATGTTCCATAGATCATAAAATAAAAGGTGATACTCGTCACATTTTCAATCATGTTTAGATAATTAAATATGAATTATTAATTAGCATGGTTTAGATATCTCTATTTAGTGTTTTGTACAGTTCTATGTTATCCAAATCACAGTCCAAAAGGGATTTGACTGCAATATTTTTCAACAACCAAAACAAACAACATTTCTTGAAAACGGAATAATTATAACTAATGTAGAGAAGAGAAGCACTCATCAAAAATTTCTAAAGATAAAAATTTTCTGATGTTAAATGGAGGAGAAACTTTAAACGATAAAAATGTAAATGTTTGGAAATGCTGCCAATACTTAAACAAACTTGATAGTTGTTAGTGTTAAGGTTAGGTCCAATTTTTTAAAGGTTCAGAAACACCTCTTTCTTCGAATAATTAAAAAGAAAGTAAATTATTTCCAAAAGTTGCCTCCCTAAAGTTCTGAATTTAATTTCAAATGTATATGGTAGAGTCACCCTTTATAACAGAATTTACAGAATCAATATAATTGCCTGATTTCTACCAATGGCTGTGTCTTTTATGGTAAAACTACATACACCAGCTGCTAAATCAGTATCTATTAAAACTATCATGCTAGAGTCCTGGAAATAATTTACACGAACTTCTTATTTTAATTCAATTCTGTGTGAAACAATGAATCATTAATAGTATAAATTAAACCTGGAGTAAAAACAATTAAAGTAAAAGTACTCTTTTACTAAAATAACCATAAGTAAATATGTCATGACAATAAGTAATTGGAAGAAATAACAAGGCCCATTGTACTTTGTACTTTCCCATAAACTTCCAATAAATTTCACCTAAGCTGACTCTTTAAGCATGGTCAAAAGTACAAATACATACTTATAAAAAGAGTATGATCAAACTTTGGCTGGTCAAATATTGGTCAAATGTTAGAAAGTTTATAACCATATGGCCTGTCCACTCATTTTCACATAGTTTCATAGTCATTAAATATTAAAGAAGCAAGTAAAAACCAATTAAACTATCTTAAGATCTGCTTTATTTATCTTTGTACAGAAAGTTGATAAGGAATCAATTTACATGACTTCCGTTTCAATTAATTACAAAATATATTGGTTGAACTGATTGGTATCATGTTAATTAAATCAAGTAAAAATCTTATTGTTGCAATTCCTGAATAGTCAATAGCAACATGTAATGTTATTAAATAATCACTCAAAGTCTTACAAACCACTTAATCTAAGTCTTGCCAATAAAAAAAGCGGCCTTTACAATGATGATTAAAATTACCACTTAGCAATGTAAGAAACCTTAAGTATTCATTTGCCTATGAGTGTAGAGCCTAAACTAGAAAAGGCATTAATAGCATGGAAAGCTTTCAACATATACATTATAAAAGAACAGCATTGCACATATTTTATCTGGCCATGGTCCAAAGGCAACAACTAAAAAAAAAATTTTTTTTGTCCTTTAAGACTTTTAATAAATATCTTAGAGAAATGAAGGCTCGAGAGCAAATGCAATGCAATTTCTGATATAATTAATATTTCCAAGGGGTAGAACTCATTAAAAATATTTGATCAGCACTAATATTTTCTAAATTGTCTGATATAAACCTATGATATAAAAATCTGTCAAGAATTGTATTCATGAGAGCGCTAACAATGCAATTCTCCATATAATCACTATATTTCCATTGGGCATAACTCTTTTAAAAATAATTCATCAGCACCAATTTTCGAATTTATCCGAGACATTACTGATATAAACCAATGATATAAATTTCATAAAAACGAGGTAAGAATTATACAAATGAGAGCGCTCACAATGAAATTTTCCATATAATCAATATTACCAAGGGGCATAACTCTTTCAAAAATAATTGATTGGCACAGATTTTAAAACCAGTCCGAGATGTTGTTGATATAAACCTATGATATAAGTTTCATAAAAATATGGTAAGAATTGTACATATGAATGCACTAACAATGCAATTTTCCATATGATTAATGTTTCCAAGGGCATAGCTCTTTTAAAAATAATTGATCTGCACTGATTTTCAAATTCTACCAAGACATTGCTGATATAAACCTACAATATAAGTTTCACAAAAATCTGGCAAGAATTGTACAAATGAGAGCACTAAGGATGTAATTTTCAATATAATTGATGTTTCCAAAGAACATAACTCTTTTAAAAATAGTTCATCTGCACTGATTTCGAACTCATTTGAGACATTGCTGATATAAATCTAGTACAATCTTTATTTTTACCTAATATTTTTTTACTGTTTCATGGGACATGTTTCAAAACTTAAAATATGCTATTTCTCTAGACCTTATCAATATTGAAACAGGATTATCTATCATGTTTGAAAGATTATTTCTTAATATAAATGCAAAATAGGAATTAACATATACTTTATGCCTCATTAAGGCATGTTATACAGTAAAAAGGCTGTTTGCCGCAATGCTGCACATAAGCTATGGTTAACCAATAGATTTCAAATAATAAAAACATGCATCATTAAGTTACTATGAAAAGATCATCTCCCAAAACAGTTCTGTTTATGACTGCATTTGAATCAGATGTCCACTGAACTGTTTTCAAAAACTGAAAGCCGTAAGCATAATCTGAAGTCAAATCTGAGGATTAAACAAGTATTTAAACTTTAGAAAGTACATGTATATAAATGCATATATTGGAAATTACCTTTTACTTAAAATTTATTACTTTACTAAACTAAAAAAGATTTAATCATAGATGTATCTGTCATTCAATAATCTGTGTGAAAAGTATGTATAATATTTATCCTATTGACTTTAGCAGTGGCTTCCAGACCCACAGGAAGTTGTAAAATCTTGAACTTGAAAAATAATTTTTAATGTGAGACACATATATTATATAGCTCGTTCAGACAAGAAAATTCAATAACTAACTATGGAAGAATGTTAAGAGCAAATTAAAACAAGAGTGCACACGCTGAAATGTCTCGCCTAATTACCATGGAAGTAAAATGACTTGATTTTATGTTGAAAGTCTTAAAGATAAAGGTCTAAAGTATGACATAAACTTAAAATTCTAAAGATCCATGACAATGAGGTCAAGGTCAGATGAAAACTGTCACACAGACATGTGCACCTTATAATTATTCCACACACCAAATACAGTTGACCCATTTCTTATGGTAATGGAAAAACAGACCAAAATACAAAAACTTAACTTTAACAAAGGAACCATGAAAATGAGGTCAAGGTCAGATGATACTGGCCAGACAGATATGTACACCTTACAATCATTCCATACACCAATTATAGTTGACCTATTGCTATTAGTATTTGAAAAACAGACCAAAACACAAAAACTTAACATTGA